GTTCAATTTATTATTTTCAATTTATATTACAATTCAGTTACAGTGTTCTCAAAGCTTTCGTTTTTCCAGAAGAGGTTGAAAGAAAGAAAACTGCAGAAGCAGAAATGATCAGGGAAAGGAAGACTCCGAATGCAATTCAGAGGTTCATCTGCCTTTACTCTCGGCTTCAATAAGAGGAAGCGATTGGTTAGGCAAGATAATTTTCCGTTCTGAATCTCTAGTAGGTAAAAGTTCCCTGGGAGCGAATCTTTGTCGAGGGTGAAAGGAGACTTTTCAGGAGTGAAATATGATTAGAAAAGGAAAGGAGACGGCCAGTGTTGGATCCCTCTCCCGCGGCAGCGGCAACGACAGTGAAAAATGCGAGGGGATTTTGCAACGGGTCGCCGTTTTTTACAACGCGGCGGCAACTTTCCTCGCCGGTCTACGATCCCGCGACTTTCTAAATCGTCTCCACGACACTAGCCAACGGTGCACAATTAATCGGCGGAACGTCTCGACGCGACACTATTGTCTGCTAAACAATTATCTCCAGCCTGATGTAAATTGACGTTCTTAACGCTAGGTTCACGGACATTTGTCGTGTAGTTTATTCCATTGTTCCTAGGAAAACTGATTGCTCATTTGGATCTTGAAAATTAGGAATTTAAAAATAAACAATTAAGGTACGTATTCGTGCGACTGCATCGATCGAAACTGTTGTAATTCAATTCAATTTATAATTAATTGTATTCGAATTGATACTAATTTACCAATCAATGTTTATAAAATTCAATATGCGTAGAATGGACGCGTTCAGTGAACCTTAGTGTTAACAATGAATGATCAAATTATACGTGTTCACCGTTGCCAGCGATCGCTACTGAAGATACCGACCATTGTCGAAGACAGCGTTTGAAAGAGAAACGCGGCGTCAAGATCCGATTAAACGTATTTAGTGAAAAGGAAGTCACGTCGTTAGGACGCGATCATTCGGTGATCTTGATTCCGTGCTTTCTAGTCGCTTAAATAAGCCACTGGGTTCCGCCGCCATTATTCTTTCCGCTCGTGTTCGGTCGCCGTATTGAATAACAATGACCCGCATTCAGAATTCCGCGCGGTCTGGGACTTAATGAAATCCTGCTCTCAATGAGAGGATGGTTTTTGCTAAAAATTAGAATATCCCATAACTGTACAGCTATCTAGCAGAGGCCAGCTGTAAAAACTAGTAATTGTCTTTTTCTGTTTCTAATTTTTCTTTGCAATTTGTCCGCTTGGAAGTTTGGCAAATTCTCATTCTTAACATTTGTATACATGGGAGAGTACCACCTCCATCGAGGTTACATTGTATTGTTTATTTTTCTTATAGCTCTTCTATTAGGTCTCTTGGCTACCTTTTTAGACATTGTAAGCCCTTTTAGAATTGATATTGTTGCGTATGCTTCCATAATTGGTTGATTTGTACTTTTTTTCTGAATCCTCCTGTACTTACTTCTCTTTTTACCAGTTGAATGTCTGAACCTTTTCGGATATTTAAAAGAAGTAATTGTGAAACTTGGATAAGGAATTTTTTAGTAATCTTGTTACCGTTAGGGAAAGTACAAGCTGCGCGAGCGGTGTAATTTGTTCGCGCGGTGATAATAACTCATTGATTGCGGTAAAAGTGGCAGGTTGGTGTCAATGATTGGTTGACGTAACGCGCTTCTTCGCAGCGGATCGCAAAATTTCGTGGAAGCGAGTAGAAGTTTGTCGAATAGTACTTTCTTTTTTACTGGAATGTAATTGTTGGATGGACACCTTTCCATGAAAGGATGCGGATTCTAGAATGCGTTTAAAACGGATGGATTCAGAGGTATTAGAAAATTGGTTGACCAAGTGAAAATTCAGTTGACACGTGACACGAATGGGCACGTTACGTTGCGACACGTAATCCTTGCGGAAGGTGTTAGATATATTTCTGAAACGCGCAGGTCCTCGGCCGGATGAGGATTTCGTCAGAATATTGTATTAACAACAACCGACGATTGTGCAATAATTATCGTCCCGATGAACACGGTACATATTTTCCGGTTAGTCAATACGGGAATTTTGATTGAGGTTCACGCAGAGGTAACCGAGATAATTCGCGTACGATAATTATGTTCGGGAATCTCGCGTTGGAATCGTGTGAATGTTTTCGAACTGGACAAAATGCTAGGACAAACATTGCATAAAGCTATGTTTAAAGTAGGCAAAGTATACAGTGGGTAACATGACAAATTCTTCTTTGTCATTTATATTAACTTTTACCATTATATTAGCAATGTGGAAGTTATAAATATTTAAATTCAAATAACAAAAGTTTATCGTATTTAAGAGTAAGATAATTTATCCTCAATTTTAGTTCTTTTATAAAACTTTATTCGCAAAGTGTTAAGAGTCCAACCAACTCAAGTATTATATGATATCGTCTCCAATTTATGATGAAAACTTCGATTTGAATTTAACGAACGATAAATAACGAATCTGTGTTATTTATCTTTTTCGAGTATGAACCAAATATAATATTTTCTGTTATCTATCCTTTTGAATATGAATTAAATATTATAATATTTTCTATTATCTATTATTTTGAATATGAATTAAATATTATAATATTTTCTACTATCTATCATTTTGAATATGAATTAAATATTATAATATTTTCTACTATCTACCATTTTGAATATGAATTAAATATTATAATATTTTCTATTATCTATCGTTTTAAAGCAATAGTAAACAGAGCAAGTATCAAATTTATAGGTTTTCCCAATACATTATTAACACTAAGTTTACGAAATGCGTCAATTTTACGCATACTGAATTTTATATAAAGATTAATTAGTAAACATTTACGTCCCTAATTTGCAAAATCTAAAATGAACATCAATTTCTCGAGGGACAATTGAATAAACCTACAATAAAGGTCCATAAAATCTAATGTTAAAAAGCTTTATCAAGCACAGTTAAAACAAACTCAGAACATATAATTTGAACACGAACTTGTTCAGATTTTCCTCTTTCCCTTCTCAATGCATTATAATTATCCATCTAACCGAAATGAGTACCATTGTCATAAACTGCGAATTTGTATGCATTCATGGGAAATCTGGAAATGCAGAATTGCACAGAATGCATGCAAAACGAAACAATTTATAAAATATCTGAAGTGTAGCGCTTTCTATGATATTTGTTACGAATAACCATTCTCCACGATAGTTCTATTTTCCTAACTATACCCTTAAAAATTTGAATTTGCATAAAGATCCACTAATCATAGAGGTGCGGGTTGAGCGTGCAACCGAGTTTCGTTTAAGCTCGGTCGCCCTACTTGCTCCCATGTGGGATTTTAGATAAACCTAAAGCCGGCATTCCCGATATTGTCCTCAGGGTTAGCGCGGGGTTCAAAGGAGAGGGAAAAACAGGGAGAGAACCGTGGTTTTATTTCGTATCCGCATGTGTGCCCGTGGAACCGTTATCTGGCCGGCTTTATATCGGCCGGTTACGAAGTCGGCTGTGCGTCCGCGTCTTTCTTAACGGCTCCTGGGAGCTGCCTCGCGACGAGCACGCTGCATACGAGCTGGTCTTTCTCGCGTATTTGGGACGAGTAGCCCGAGCACAAAAACCGGGCAGGACCGTGCGCGGGGAAAAAAGAAACGAAAGGAGAACCGGCGATTCGTATTGGGTCGAGATCGACGCTGGCTGGACTTTTTGTTTTGAATAATTTTAAAATCCGATGAAGCTTTGAGGAAAATGTTTTGTTCGTTGCGGTAAAGTTGGAACTGCATTTTCTTCTATTTAGATTTGTGCTACAATGCATTTGTATTGCACCACTGGAATTACTGGGCAGGTCAAGTTAACCTGTTTTAGAATGTTTGTTTTCAAGTGTTTAGATTGTGATGAGTTTTGCAATAAGGTTGAAGTATTTCTCGTTTCTCTAATTAAGAGAAGCAGCTGAATTCTTTTTCTTTCGAATAGTTTTTCAATTGGATGGATATTTGTGGAGAATATTTTGTCAGTTGCGATGAGATTGAAATGATATTTCTTTTTATTTAGATTTGTTTTAGAGTGCGGCAAGTCTTAACATTGGACTACTAAGTAGGCCATATTGACTTATTTTAGGATTGTCATTTTGCAAGTATTTAAGGAAGATTATACAACAAATTTATGTATTTCTATAGATACAAGAATCGGAATCTTCGAAGCTCAGGTCACTTTAGTTGCTTGGTAGTGTTACTGTCAAACGAGGTCTTCGAGGATTTGAAACACTTTCGAATCACCTGAATAATTCGGCATCCTTCCCAAAGAACGCGACAGAAATTTTAATTAAGTGGATTAAGCACTCGTGTTAATTAGGTGTACTCATTGGAACCATTGGTGTTGGCGATCTCAGTAAATTCGTATTCAGTATAACGATTCTTATTTTGAAACAGTAAAGATCATTTCAGAAATTGTCGAAATTTCTAATCAACACTATAGCTACCATTAAACATAATTAATTTCTAATCCCAATAAAAATGGTAACAACAGACTTTTTTAAATCTCTACCAATACCCATTGCAATGCGCAACTGAAACTACAGTATTAATTCTCCCAATAGCTTCAATATCTCTTAACACTGTTAGATTCTCAATAATTACAAAATAAGACAAGTAAAACATTTTAATTGTTTCAAAATAGAATCTCGCGTAGATTTCATTCAACCCACCAACCATTAACACGTGAGACCAGATCACGCGAAAAAAAGAACTAGTTTCGGCCAGCCGGTCACCATTCGAATTCCCGACGAAAAATTCGGTGAATCCCCGACCCACATTCCGCGCGGTGCGCAACGTTCGAACAACGTACAGCTTTTCCGTTCGCGCCGCTTCCCTGTCTTCTCTTTTTCCAGACCATCGGGAAGAGTGTTTCTCCCCCGAGGCAGGTGAATTTTAAGCGGCGAACGAGGGAGAGAGAGAGAAGAAAAAAAAGCGGAGAGCGAGTCTCCCTCCATTTTTCCCTTTTACAGAGATATCGTAAGATCTGGTCGTAATGAATTCCCGCTCGAAGTAATGCCTCACGTGCTTTGCAAGTTACATATCGTTGCGTAAAACTTGTACCGATCTTACGCAAGGAAAGTAGGTACCTAGCCGAAGATAAACCTCCTCTATGCGCGGCGGTGATCGAAGAGAAAGTGAGCGATCTTCAAAACAAGAATGTTTACTTTAAAAGCCGCTGGATCTCCAACATGGCGGACGCGCGGCATCCAGGGAGACTGACCTTTTTTTTTTGCCACCGAACAATTCCAAACTTTCTCTTCGCTTCTCTTCCTTTTTTTTTATCTTTACAGCATCGTGATTCGCGATTTAAAAAAAACAACGATCAGCCTCGGTGTAATTGGCCACTCTGCCAGCGGGTTGAATATGGAAAGCGTGCGAACGACCAGCAGGTTCACACACCGTGAATTCGGTAAAGGGTTGTGGCCCGGAACAATCTCGTCTGGCTTGAATGAAAAAAGGCGGAGCACCGGCCGCGATTAATTAAAGGTAATCCGGGGCGTTGCTAATTAACGAAGGATATGAGTTACGGCTCTCTTTGTTCGCTGGAACAAAGGCGTTTCCACTTTGTCTAATTCCATTTAATCCCAGGCGAGCCTCGCCCCGTGCAGTTTACCAATATCCTCGTCTTCACATCAATTTTTGGGCATCGACACTAGAGAGTTACCAGTACAATCCTGCTCTTTATCTCAGTTATTAATTCATTCATCCATTTCCATGAATAGAATAATTTAAGAAACAATTTTATTAATTTTACTTGTTTCCAGGGTGACCAAATTCTATATACCCAACCGGGCAGACCAAAGTTCCCAGCGTCCGAAAATGGCGCGCAAACGCTGAACAGCCGCGCGCAAAGGTTAGAACTATCGGCAAAGAGAAAGCTCCCGGGTCAACGCGACGCGACCCGCAGGGTCGCCGCTTTCGATTTCTCCGGGTGGCCGCACTTACCCGCTGTAGCTTTTCCTGGTTCCGGACACCGTCCTCTAAGATCCGCCGGATCGAGGTGTTACCGATAGTATGCGAGAGGAAGGTGAAAGGTCGCGGAGGACTTCGTTGATCGTTGCTCGGACAGGTTTCCGTTCGACCGTCTGTCTGCGTTTTCGGCTGGCCCAAACGGCGCAAGGCAAAGCTCGTCGACAACTCGTTGATCGCGACGAGAAAGAAGAATGAACTGCGGCGTGCGAGCAAGCAACCGGTATATAGCCGGCCCACATTCCCTTCTGGCTCGAGTAACCCAGATTCTTCCCACCCGACCGTCTGGGGAACATCTTCGGGGGCCTGAAAGGGGCCCTGGATAATTCCCAGCTTGCCCCAGCAGCGCCTCTCACTGATCGGTTCTTCCCCCTCACCCGTTACCTTCGAGCTTCCTCGAAGCGGTCGTCTTTCGGTGGCAGAATTCGTTTTTCTCGCGTCGGGTTCGGATGGATCGTCTGTAATTGATTCTGAAAAAGGAATTGTCCTTCCATCCCCGGTAGCGAAACGTGGAATCACCGACTTCCTTGATTCGATGAATGACAGGCCTATGAATCGACGCTAATAGCGTACTCGGCGGGGGGATTATTAATATTTTTCTGATAGCACTTTCTGCAGGGAAATGGGATTTTCGATTGCATCCACGCTGTTTGGATCAGTGGTACCCTGGGATTAGGGATAATGAATCTCGAATGGTTCGTAGTTTATAATACGTATATTTGTTAGTTAGTTTTGGTTGAACAGAATTCGTTGTGCCCATGTAGAATAATTGTTGTAGCTCGGTTGACGACTCGAGGGTCGAAACGGTATTCTAGAAGGTGAGTCTGTAAACCAATGTGTTTGACTTTGTATAAACAATTTTTAATATTCTTCGTTTTATGAGAGAAAATGTCCTACAATGTAGGCTTGATGATATAGTGTTTGAAAATTGTAAATTATGCAGTCTTATGATTTTCTGTGATAGATTGTGAATGACAAAGATCTATCTTTAAGGAAAATTCATTGTTTGCTGCATTATTTGCAGTGTCCTTTAGACGTTTATCATATAAAAATAATCCAAACACTATAACAGTGTTGAATTCATTGAAACCCAAGCACCATAAAATTATTTAGGTCTTCATTCTTCCTCTTGGATACATTTTTCCACTAGTTCCCTTAAATTTGGATTTTCCATAGCAGCTGCGATTCGTTCTTTGTCGTTTATTTGTTTATTTACTGAAACATAAAGTTCCGATTAATGAATGATAATATTAAATTCGTGTTATGTAACTGGAAATGATACTTACTCTCTTCTTCTGTAGAGTGAGCACCTTGTTTAATATATATATCTAGTTTAAAAAGAGCTACTAATTGACGTTCTAGTTTGATTCTGATGCAAAGACCAATCAACGTTGCTAGTGAACAATGGGGAACTGTTGGATTGAATTCGATGCGTATGACAGATACTCCTCTAGGTGTTTGCTTACAGACTTCTACACAGTCTTCGTAGACAACATCCAACTGCTCCAGCGTTTGAGGCTTCTCAGGATCTTTGATAGTTCTGAGCAGATCTGTGATAATTTCATTCTTTATGAACCTTGATAAAAATAGTTTACCGGTGAAATATTTGTAATGATGAAATCGTGGTTATAGGTATTGCTAAAATTAAATAATTTACCGCTGCTAATATAAATTTCAACTGTCAAGCGATGAATCTAACATATGAGATAAAAATATGCATTATAAATAGTTGATATATTTCCACCAATAGGAAGGCAAGCAAATATCTTCATTAAAAGTTAGGACAATTGATAATGAGGTTGTAGTTAACGATGACATGTTTACAGTTTTTTGTTCAGGTTAAGTAATGATCAGCTTTTGTGTATAAACTTGCCATAAACAGATTCCTTCAGTTCGGTGTCGGACTTCGAGACCAGAGCTCGGTTTCTCGTGTCCGGATAGCCTTCAGTAACCTCCATTTCGTCCCCTGTCGGAAGACCATCTCTTATCTTCGACCCGACAGAGATTTTTCGTAAAAACGACAACATTCTCGCCCCGTGCCCCCCTTGCCTCTTATAGCGATTCAATGAAACATCATTAACTTTTGTTTATATTATGGCTGACCATTCCAATGAACCTAACCTCTGCTGCCTCCTTGGAGTAGACCATATGATAAGCTGCGTCACAGTGGCGCGGAAGTTCAATGACGATGAAGCAACTCCATTATCAATACAGTTCCTTTGCAAATCCCGGTAACATTGCAGTTTCCCTAGAAATGTATACATCATAAGAAAACTCTAATCTTCGCAGCATAAATCAATTCAAATATCTATGAATCCCATAGATCCCTTAGAATTCATATTTGGTACCATTTTCTTGTGCTACCCGCCGATATTTCTCGCAACTAGAGACAGTAGTGTTTTTAATGCATGGATGACTTCTGTTTGAAATGAAAACGTTTGGAAACGTGATTACACGCGTTACTTGTGCTTTCGCTTGTTTACACTTGTACCTGCGAATTCGCATGAATTACCGTGCAGTCGTATTCGCTTATTTATTTATGTGCAAAAGTCTCCATAAATTAGCATGAAACCTGTCCTACAATCCGTGACCAGCCAGACGAGTTTGAGGCGGTCATCTGCAAGAGAGAGGAAAAAACGATGAAATCTCGCTTTCCCATTAAAGCATCATTCGCGTCGCAGTAAAAGATAGGAATAAATTTAGAGTGGGATTCCGTGGCACGAAATCGATCGGTGGTAACGCGTGAAACGTGTTTTTGCTTGCAGGCCACGCGTTCGGGTACCGCTCGTGCCGAGAAATTCGCGGGTGAAAATTCGGTTGGCCGCGGTAACGAGGGTGACGCTCGACGGAAACGCTTCTTTCACAGATGGCGCGGCTGCGAACTTCCCAAGGACGGGCTCGATTTTAAAACGAGACGTTATACTTTTTATCGTCGGACAGGGCTCATTTTTCGTGCGGGTTCAACAGCCTGGAAGGTCATTCAAGGTTACGAGCAGGTAGCTAAATATTCCTAGCAGAACTAGTTTCTGGAGATCGCTTTAAAGCAGCCTTGTAACCTTTATTTTATAGGTTGGTTCGGCTCGTGCCGCGACCTTGACCGACCTTACAGGTCACATCACTGAAACAGTCCTTGGAGACAACTTCTCTACAATGGGCAGAACCATTGCTACGGATGCAACGGTCAACGATGAGGAATAGTTCCGTAATTAATCATCAAGGTTACAAATACAGCATGTTTTCTGAGAAGAAATTGGTCTGGCAATTTTTAATCCGGTAATGACGTTACCGCTAAGGAGTCGCCTTGAACGTGTAATAGCCAACGATTAAATGAACAATTGCAGACGCGAGGAAAGGAATTACACGTTTCGCTTCAAGGGAACTGTTTCTAACCGAGGAAGATTAGAAGCATGAACCACAGGAAAAACCGCAATAGCCGGCTAGGCAAATTTATAGCCGTTTCAAGCACGATTATTACGCTTCAAATTGTTCATCGCTTAAGATACACCGTCTAGACGTAGGCGGTTAGGAGGTGTTTCAATATGTGTCCAAAAATACCTTGACCATTTCTAAACACATTGTCAAACTTTTGAGAGCTTGCACGGTTGCAAGTTGTACAATTCGCGTGAAACCATTCACGCCTTCGCGTAATCTCGCGTTACGAAAAGCAGGGTCCATAGTGCGGAGATCGCAACCTCGGTGCAGCCCCGACGAACATCAGTGATCCAAATCACGCCAGAGGAAGAGAGCTGGTACCGGGTGTAGTGCAGCAGCTTGCGCACGCTCTGTTCCGCAGCGTGTGCACGCAGCAGAGACCCTTCGGTCCCCGTCGTGGGAAGAACTGGCGGATTCGTGGAAGGTAACGGACGGACGGTCGGTCGGTCGGTCGGTCGGTCGGGTCGATCCTCCGTGAAACCGCGAAACGTGCATTCGTGTTCCGGCACCGCGAATGAGGTTTCAAGGTGAGAGAACGGTGCAACGGTGGCCGAAGAATGCGAAAGCTTTCTAGTGGCCCTCCTGTTCTGTTTGATCTACCGGCGCTCGGTGACGGAGCATGAAACTTAAACGCGTCACGCATTCGCGGCGTCGTCGAAGCCGCCGCTGACGCTCTTCTTCTTCTTCTTCTTCTTCTCCTTGGCGGCCGGCGTGTCTCCGGTCGCCGGCGTCGATCGGACGGAGGGAAACCCCCATTCTTCTGTTCGGCTAACTGTTGTTCCCCGTGTCGGGCTGGACGCGTTTCGTTCCACGCCGGCGGCCGAAGGTAAGCGCGTCGGAATCTTTACCGTGAAAAGGCGCGCGCGTGCGGCGACCCGCTGGACCGGTCTCCCCCGGGCACGGACACGTTCTGACCCGATGTTTCTGAATATAGATCATTGCGAGCAACATTCAGCAGTGGCCAACCCGCTGCGGAAAGAAAGAGAGAGAGGGAAGGCGAGGCGGGAGGTGATCGTTCGTTAGCATTTAGTGGCTTCTTTCGTGGGGACCGAAGGTAATCCGGTCTGCGGGAGACCGCTTCGAAGTTGAAGAACCTCTCGGCTTGGATTCATTCTTCCCGATAGCTTCTTAGCACCGGGTGAGTCTTAACGCTTCGAGTATGGGTTCGTGAACAATGTCTTCAGGTTGTCTCTTCTATTCTCAAATTTGTCCTCGCCTACTTGAAGACTCAGCTTGCGGTCTAGCACTGGTTGGCGCGTTAAAAAGTAATCGTGTTATGGTTTCGACTGATTTGAGGATATGTGTAGCCTTGAAGTGACCTTGGTGATCGATGCTTGTAACAAGAGGATATTGATTACTTGTCAGGGCGCGGATACTTCAAGGCCCCAGTAGCATGAAGAGTCGATTGATATTACGAGTGATCTTGGAGGGATTGTTTTCAAACGTCTTTGACTATCGAGGCAGATAACTTGTTCGAGCTGCTGACGATAAGCTTCTCCGAACTCTTTGTACGAGACGCTTCGGACAGATACTAATTTATCGCTTTGATGTGCACACTAATTTCGGACTGTTATCTAGTCGTTATCGAGAAAGGATATTTGTACCGGAACTGTCACGTTGGAAAGGTTATTTGACGAGGCGATATGGATAAGTCCGATGATCAAGCATTACCTTTTGAAACCTGATGACTAACGTTATTGAGATAATCGGTTCTTTGAACTTCGCTTAAGACTTTTCCTTTCGATTCTCATATCGCTGGCAATTGGGACTGTCAGAGACATAAGGCCGTTGTGTTGGTCGTCCATAAACAACACTGTCGGTGAGCTGTCAGAGCTCAGTTGAATATGGGACTTAGATAAATAGGGGAATTGGGCCAGCGAGGATTAGCCCGCAGAGACCGGATCGAGGCTGCTAAACTAAGTCATGGCGAGCATTCAGATTTCCCGTCGAGGCCGATCGATCGGTATCCATAATTAATCTCGGCGGTATTTCGTTGCAAAATTTAAATGAATCGATGTTGCGTTCGATGCGCGAAAGTGACCGTATTTCCTTGAAATCCAGCGGGAGATCGTTCGCTCTGATTGCCATTAGAACTTTCAAAAGATAATATCAATAGAAGCGGATGCAATAGGCAGACGGGCTCTGACAGTCCACGAGGATGATTTAGCTGCAGGGAAACGGAGTTAACAATGACCAAAATATTTTACCAATTGCAACAGCTTGCTGTGTGTAATACTTGGAAAGTATCAGGAACAACAAGCCTTTGTGTCCTGAAATATTGTTTTTCATTTCTACCATTGTTTTTAATCATCACATGTGAATTGTACATATCCTTTTTTATTGTTTCAATTATTTTAGTTACGTATATTGTCACAGATTATCATTTGTACCGAGTATAAATATGTTTATAAAATTATTACCACGCCTTAAACTAAATAATTAAAAACGAAAATGTTTTAGGACATAGAGGTTTCGAGTACGAACGTAGAAATAATATGGTTTTCGTCATAGATAAGTAAGCTAAAGTGTTAGGAAATATCCTAAGAACGCGTCAGAGATTATTGATAAGGAGTCGTGAAAATATCAGTCGAAGTTTCTGCGACTGATGCGCTTTTAAATTACTTTGGCGATCGTCGACGGCCTCAGTCGATAAAGTAGAACTCCCATGGAAAGTTTCTGCTCCGTTATCACCGAATATGCCACGTAATGCAAATAATGGAAAGCTGCTCATTGATAACAAACATATTCCTGGATAAGTGGGTCGAGTGTTCTCTAAATAACATGAACCGTTTTGTTAAAGTATCGTGTTAGAATCTGTACTGCATTATATTTATTTTTCTACATTTATTAATGTTTATTTGTAGGTGTGCGTAGGATCGGCGCATTCCTTGTGAGAGAAGACAAAAAGAAATAGTCAAAATCGCGAGGACTGGAGACAGTTTACGAAGTAAAATCCAAAAAAGTGTCTGACTAACTTTTCTATGGTGATCTTGTATAAAAAGGATCTGAATAAGGTTTTAATTTTTTTTTTCATCTTTTATACTTTTTATGATTTTCAGTTTATTCTATATATGTCTACTATTGACTGTACACAGGGGATCCCCGAAATCAACCCTCCGCATACACGTTGTTACCAACCCCTGTTACAGTCTCCGCTCATCTACCGCGCAGGTACATTGGTACCATCTACACGGTGAACCCAGTGGAACCATAAGGACAGGTTCGAGTCGTTGAATTAATGAATCATTCTAAAAAGATCATTCACTCTAAAGTTTCGTTCTCTTAGCTCTACAAGATCACAATTAAAAAATCAAAGTAGACTTTTAAAATCGGTTCTCCAGTGAAAAGAGCCGTCATTCATATTTCCAACTTTATTATTCCACACGCATACACCAAAGTTTCGTTACATTTAAAATTTCGAGTTCCAATCACCTCTCAAGCAATCAAACCTTATACCCCGTAAGTATCTAGACCCTTAGCCTTCAGCAGTCACTCAAAAATCAATCACAACACCCCCTTACTCCCACCAAACACGATCACAACCATTTTCTCAAGAAGATTGTCACAGTACATTCACATGAAAAAAAAACAGATTGTACTCATAAAACCGCTCAGCTTGAAACTCGCAAAACATGTTTATTTGAAAATCGCTGAACCTGTTTTCGCAGGCAACCACTGATCCCCGGGTACACCGGGCAAACTCAGCACCGACAAAAACTCCCGAAGCTCGCACGAGGAACCATTCAATCGGATTTCGAGCGGTTCCCCAAAAATCCGTCGTTACGTAACGCAAAATATGTCGCGGTTATGCATACGCGTGCAAAAACACGTTGAATAGGGTCGTGTAGGTATATCGTCTTTCCGTCAGCTATATACGTGCCTCTCCCGTGGCTTGGTCGAGGGTAGCGCGCGTGCGCCACGCCCGTGTTCCCCCTTCGTCCTCCTGTTCCTCGGGGATCTCCCCACCCCGGCGGTTCGCGTGTTTGCCGGGCGAATTATCCGGAACCGTCCGGCGAACTGATTGAACCGGTAGCAAAGAGAGAGGACCGAACGGGTGCAACGATGCCGCAGCCACGCTGGTGGAACGCTGTTATCGCGGGCGGTCGTGTTAGGACGTGGGAACAACTGGCTGCTGCCTCGGCGGGGTCAGGGACGCCAGGAGGCAGAGCATCCGCACGTTTGACGGCTGCGAAGGCGGTAGTCCAGCGGCCGGCTGTCGAGCGAACACTTCGTCGCGGGATGGCGAGCGTCACACCCGGCGGCAAGGTCCTCACCGAGGACAATGTATTCACCAATCTGCGGAAAATGGAGTACGCGGTGCGCGGGCCGCTGCTCCTTAGGGCCATCGAGATCGAAAAGGAGTTGCAGAAGGTAAGCGGCTCCGTTAAGACTCTCGTGCACGTTGAAATTTGCGGTGATACGAGCATCGCTGCAAGCGATAGGTTCGGCTCTTGGTTCGATAAAGGCTGAGATCCGTCACTTGTAGCCATGCCTGCTTCGTTGCTTCAACGTGTATGGGGGTCTTTAGCGGACAATGTCATCGGGACCTAAGTCATTGCACCCCTTCGAGCCAGATACACCAGGGATCGATCTACGCGAGCGCGTGAAGTGACGCGGACGGTTTCGGCTGGCAAGTTTTTTGACCGGACGCGAGGGTGAAGATCGATGAAGGAGTTCAGAGTTTACGAATGTTTGTATGGTTCTATGGATGGTTGGGTTGGGGACCGTCGTGCGCGGACGTTGTATGGAATGGTGTTGATGTGACAAGTATGAAATAATATGGGGATGTACAGGGATGGTGTTTAGGAGTAACTGTATTTTTGTGTTGCGTCCTGGTCTGGTAGTCATGTGATTTCTTTTTGAAAGCACTGAAGACGTTTCGATGTTGGCGGTTGTTTTGGTTTTTTGCCTTTGCCAGATGGCTGTCTTTGGAGATTGTTTGTGGTGATGTGGATTGGAAGGGACTAATAGGAAATCAGGGGTTGATTATAATGGAGTCTAGAATTTGTTTATTGAAATAGGATATTCAAATATTAGCATATGGATATAGGTAAATGTTACTCCAATTAATTATTATACATTGAATTCCATTGTAGTTTCTATATGTTTATATTTTTATGTGTATTCGTCAAGGATTGGATGATTTATTTTGTAAATAATCTTTTTTCATCAAAGTTTAATATGCATTTATGTACAATCGTCTCAGTGGCCTTTTATGAGCTTTATATTATGTTTGAATGGGCAAGTAGAACTAAGGAATAATTCAACTATCAATTCTCGCATTCTGTGTATGAATATAATGCGGTAAATGGTGCTGAGTATATAATTACACTTAATTACTTTATTAAAGTAGTATTTCGACTAGGTTATGTTCTAACAGACCTATATCGCGAAGTCTGGAGGAAAACTATTGGCTATTCTATAATTGTCAAACTTAGATAAACATTACGTCACATTAACAGAGTGGAGGTAGTTTTCAAACGTGAAAAACGTGACATGCCTGTTAAATAGTGATAAAAACCGCTTGACGCAAGCAGATGCAAATTGAACTAACTATATTTTATTTGTATTTATTGTTCTGACTCTACTTGCAAATTTCACGAGTTAAGATTATTTTAATATAGCAATTAGCACTGATATCGTTTAAATCGAATATGCCTTATTCGTCATTTGTCAAACAATTATAAGAGATAGTTACCGTGACATATAAACCGTGATGATTCATTTCAATTAATTGTTTGAGCCCTGTAGTCGCGCGTTACATTATGTACCAACACAATTACCATTTCCTTTATCATTTAACTCGTTTCAAGTGTTCATATAACAACAGCTGGACATATTACTCGCTATCATTCGCTATAATATTGACATTTAATAATCAAATAGTGTTCTAGAACAATTTTAATTAAGATTTAGCATAATTATTTATTTCATAGCATAGAACATATTTCAACTACTCTTTGCCTGTAAAAAAATGCAGTACAAATATTTTTATCCAAGGAAAAGTCATCTTTCATCCAATAATTAATAATTTTTTTTCTTAAGAAAACAAATTAAATGAAGCACTTTTTGCAAAATTGAACATGTTATATCTACAGTGATCCTAAAAAGAAATTCCATCGTTAATTATTCTATTTGAAATACTCTTTGCCTACAAAAATATCCGGTAAAAATATTTTTCTCTGAAGAAAAAAAAATGATCTCTGTTCCAATAATTAATAATTCAATTTTTTAAAGAAGAATTTAAGAATTTCTAAAAAGAAATTTCACCGTTAATTACTTTATTTTAAATACTCTTAGACTATTAAACAATCCAGTAAAAATATTTCTATCTAATTTAATCAATCAATTTTCTTCTCACAAAATAAATTAAATGAAATATCTTTCGCACAATTTTATTTATTTTTTTTAAATTTTATTTTCAATTTAAGTTTACCTGCAAATTTGATAATTTGTATATCACACGCATATGATTGCACTTTCATGCACTTTCTTTCCTTCATTGTCTATTCAGTAGATCGTGTGGTTTCGTTCTCTTCAGTCTTTCGATTTTTGGAATTGCGTCAGGTTCGTAGCCAGTTTGTTGGGGTCAGTCTTTAATTTATCATTGTATGTTGTTACATATTTTTTAATTTGCTCTTTTAAGTATTTTATTCCTAGGTCTTTATGAAGAGTTTCCCCGTTGGCGCACCATAGGGTGGCTGTTATAGTTCTTGAGGTTTTGTTTTGAAATCTTTTTATGATGTTTACGCATTGTATGAACGCAACTTTATATAGCAGCAATTTTTTGCATAATTGAACATGTTAAATTTGCAATGAGTCTAAAAAGAAATTCCACCATTAATTATTCTATTTTAAATATTCTTTGCCTATCAAAGAATCTAATAAAAGTATTTGCATCCAAAAAGAAACGATCTTTCATCTAATAATTAAGAATTCAATTTTCTTCTGACAAAACAATTTCGATGAAGCATCTCTTGTACAGTTGAACGTGTCAGATCTACAGTGATCCCCTAAAAGAAACTCCATCGTTAATTATTTTTCCTACGTGCAGTTTCGATTTGTTTTCATTGATCACCGGAACCACCTGTCGAAGAATCTAGCATCAAGGCGTTGCCGGCTAAGAATAGACTTTCGATTATCGTGCGATATCAATGCAACTGAACCAGTTTTGAAACGTCCTGGAAACATTTTGTCTTGTTGCTCGATGTTCCAAGCGCTCGTAAATCAGGGAACCATAGTCGTGAACCTTGTTCCATAGATTTTTACTTCGCAACGATAAACCGGTCAGCTGGTATAAGGCACGAATTATTGCGGCTTAGTAACACGAGTCGGGTTAAGCGGTTCGGTGTGCGACCACGTAATTCGAGATAATAAGCCGAGACTAGACAGATAAATATTTTTCAAACTTATGACATCTTACGTCCATAAAGTAGTCATACAATGTATCTCTTATTCGCCGGAAACGTGAAAAGAGTCAAGGCCTTTTAGAAAAGGAATTCATTCATTGTTACCCGACTCCCGTATAATTACACTTCTCTAAGCATCGTTCCTTTAAATTGACTAGAATGAGCCTCGTTAAGCTAAAAGCCATAATAAAAATCCATGTAATATTCTCCACGATGGAAATGCAATTTTCTAGAGAAATAATAGTAAATGCACACTACTTGTTATTTCCTTGCAACGTCCCTTGTAAGGTGGCTCTGATTGATAATGGAGTAAATAGGCAATATTTAAATTGTTTTTTCCAGAAGGTCATCGTGTAAAACGATTTCCATGTATCCCGGGGGTTGTATAGTTTTTATAGGTATTGATAATTGAAATATCGATTGATTGTTGGATCAGTTATTCGTGTCGCGTGTTCGACAATCTTGATAGCATGTTTCAGTGGGTACTTACGCAACTCGCTTATTGGTTTACCACCAATGCTGTTGCATATTTAAATTTTCAGAATATGGAATGACTGTGAGTCATTGGCGGCAGTAGTGCCAACAGCGGTTTGTTTATGTCTTTGGCTACATTTGAAATCTATTTACAATAACTGTAGGGCACATGAGGAAAATTTATCTGGAAAATATCAGTTGATTTTTTTCGACATTTGTGTGTCGATTCAATTACTGATTCACTAGGGGAATGTAGAAGCTGTTCAGTCTTATCAGACCTTATTTCTTTATCTAATCAGTTTGCTTGAAAATGTTGATTATCTTTATTGTATGATAATTATGGTATAATTGTTTTTCGTTGTTTCAATATTATTGATTAGAATAAATTATATAAGATCATTAAAGAAGATTGAAGTCTTCTGGATAAAAAGTTTTCCAAACTTCTTTTTAAAAGAGTAATCAATGCTCTGGTCTATACTGGTAACTTTGGATTTTAATCAGTATTTGTGTTACTAATAAGTTCAGTTAAGATAAGGATACCTCTTATAGTGCAAAGAGTGATAACACACATGTAGATAATACTGGTCATTTTTTGAGAGATCTTAATGTTTGGAATAATTCCAAATTTTCTTTACTATTGTATACTTTAGATGCTATTGTGTAAATAGCTTTTCAGATAATGAAGTTTAATTTTTGTATTGGAGTACTTATATATTAATCCTTATATAAGCAGGAAATTTCTTTGCAAAGTTAATATTTGTACTCGGAATGAACCGAACTCCTCATGTAGATTAAAATAACTGTTGTATATTATATTTACAGAGTTAAGATAAATAAATTTCTCATAAGATCAATATTTATTTATATTATTTATATTGTTAATTAATAATAAAAATATTATAATTTATTTATATTATTAATTATATATTATTTCTCAGGGAGCTAAGAAGCCATTTAAAGAGGTGATAAAAGCTAATGTTGGAGATGCACATGCCATGGGACAACAACCAATCACCTTCCTGAGACAAGTACTGACTTTGACAGTGTCACCAAATCTTCTTGACGATCCAAGTTACCCTGAGGATGCAAAGGAACGAGCCAGAAACATTTTATGTGGATGTAAAGGAGGCAGTGTTGGATCGTATTCAGAATCAGCTGGAATTGAAATCATCCGCAAACATATTGCCCAGTATATAGAAGATCGTGACGGATTTCCCTGTGACTATCACAACATCATCCTTTCAAATGGTGCTTCAGATGGAATCAAAGTGTGCAAATTATTTCTTTTACTTATTATTTTTATAGTGTATTCTAGATACCTAAAGTTTTCTTAAGAAATATCTCAGAGTTCAATAGTAGCTCTTATCATTCATTTAATATATATTTCTTGATGCTCTTGATGTGTACATGTTTATAGCAGTCACTACTATTTATATTCTACTATTATTTATTTATAAGGAAACATGTGACATACGATCACTTGTAATTCATTTTGTTACAGTCAGTCCTGAAATTGTTCAACGAACAACTAGATGGGAAGCCATCTGGTGTGATGATCCCCATACCACAGTATCCCCTTTATTCTGCTACGATAGCAGAGTTTGGCCTTGCACAGATAGGTTACTACCTAAACGAAGAGAACAAATGGGCACTAGATATTTCAGAGTTAAATAGAGCTTTAAATGAAGCAAGCAGAACATCCAACCCACGGGTGTTAGTAGTGATTAATCCTGGTAACCCAACTGGCCAGGTTCTCACACGTAATAACATTGAAGACATCATTCGTTTTGCATACAAGAACCGTTTGTTTTTGTTGGCCGATGAGGTTTATCAGGACAACGTATATGATAAGGACAGTGCCTTCCACTCTTTCAAGAAAGTTATGGCTGAGATGGGAGAACCGTACAGTAAAATGGAATTAGCATCTTTTATGTCTGTGTCTAAGGGTACGTCTAAGCATAAAGTTGACAGTAATTATTTATTAGGTCGTATAATATAAAATGTCGAGTTTTTCTTACTCATAAATCTTTGTACTCCTGTTGTCGTTATTCCTTTGTTTTCCATATAATCTCTTGAACAGTTTCATTGTCGATTATCGAAGTAACATTTTGCAAAAAATATTATACAACCTACTAGATATTTGTTTTTTATTTTATTATATCGTAAAATATTTCTTCCAGGCTATATGGGTGAATGTGGAATTCGCGGCGGGTACGGTGAACTAATTAACATGGATCCAAAAGTAATGGCGATTCTATTGAAATCGATCTCAGCAATGCTCTGTCCCACTGTTTTGGGCCAGGTAGTAATGGATGTTGTGGTAAATCCCCCAAAACCAAACGAGCCATCCTACAAGTTATTCGTAAAAGAAAAAGAAGAGACTTTACGGTCTCTGGCAGAGAGATCGAAACTGGTAGTCGATACATTAAACAGCATTCCAGGATTCAAGGTATTGGAAAGGATTCTATTTTCATAGTTTTGTTAATCCTTTCAATTAATACTTCGTTTTTTATTGTAGGTGAATCCAGCCATGGGTGCTATGTACGTATTCCCAAGATTCGACTTACCAAAAAAGGCCATAAAGGCAGCTGAAGCAGAGGGTCAACAACCCGATGTTTTCTATGCGTTCAAGCTGTTAGAATCTACTGGCATATGCGTGATACCTGGGTCAGGTTTTGGACAACGGCCTGGAACCTATCATTTTAGAACAACAATTTTGCCACAAAAGGAGAAGATGAAACAAATGCTTGAGAGTTTAAAACAATTTCATATTAAGTTCCTGGAAGAGTACAAATAATCGTACAATTTGTAATATTGTTGCATTTTTAATAGTACTTGAAACGCCGGAATGATAACGTGCAAATTATCTAAATTTCTATAAATTTAACCGAGGAGAAGAATATATTGTATTTTGTAACGAAAAATTACAAAAGGGACTTAAAAAAATTGTTAAGTCGTTTATCGGTACGAGTTCTGGCGTGGATAGTATGTAATGAACTTTACAATTTATCAAATGCTTGTATATGTATATATATGTAGTACGAATTTGTTATTGTGTTGAGAAGTCGATGAAATTGTTTCTTTTTCAGAATTCTGGAGTGCGTGATGAGTGCGTATGTGTGTAGTGATTCATGGGTAATGATGCTGCTGCGCGGTTATATGATATGTTTTTTTATAATACTCACAACGATTTTAACAGATCAAGTATAGTCAGCTTCTAAATACCTGTTATTAGGGATCCACTCCTTGTTTACATTACTCAAATACTCAGTTTTAAGAAAGCAATAACCCTGTCCACCATTGTTGGTGTAAACCTATTAAGTAGATAAACCACAAATAATTTCAGTAATGAAGTTACTTTATCGCACGAGTGCAACAAAATTTACCTAACTTGTGTATCCACGTTTATCGTAGATCTTCGATATTTGTCATAAATTGCAGTTAAGTTATTTACTGTTACGAAACAATTGAATTGTAAGTTTGAATACCCATTATCAAATGTTCTATACTTGTCCAAGAAAATATTGATTTTCCTCAATTTTCACTGCTAATGTAATTGAGCATTACTTTAAATTAATATATTTTTTTATTGTTTGGTATTAGTTACTTAGATCAAGTATATACTATATGTGCAATGGTTTATAATATCGAAGATTACACGAGATGATATTGGTTAAATGTCTACCAATGTTTAATATGGTTTGTGCAATTACACGAGATTTAAGGGCTTTAAGTGTTCATTCGAACATGATCCTACACGAGAAGACAATATTGTATCCGATTGTACGTCTTTCGAGAACGCATACTGCTCGGTATGCTTCATTTACACACGCAACCATTACGTTGATGCAAAATCTGTTACCAGGAACACGCTTAGTACAAGAGACCAACGATCAAAGGGTATAAAACAATTTTCCGAAGAAAAATCGATGAAAAAAGAAAAATAAAAGAATTATTATGCTGTATACATTATTCCAGATGGATTTTATGAAAAATAATATTTTATTCTCAGGTTTCGTTGCACGATACATAATTTTTTTACAACAAACCCCGCATTTCGAATTATCTTCAAATGTTTTTGAACAGCTAACTATGCACATTTCTATAAATCACTGGCGAGTCTCTCGATCTCCTCCGCAAAGAACCTCATGTCAGCTTTCGTCAGCCCAGAATTTTGCAGGACAAGCCTGAAGAAGTTCGGCAGCTCCCTCAGCGGTTGATAAGTGATCAGCATTGATCCCTTTTTAACCATGCGTTCCTTCACCACTGGCCCAATTGTTTTAAGCGCTGTCGACAGCTCTTCACCCTTCAAGTGGCGTTTTGAAGGCGGAACGTACCAGAAGCACACGTTAGTGCACTCCGGTTCGAGCAGTAGCTTGAAGCCCTGCTTCTGCTTTATATAATCCTTGAAATAGTGCGCCAACTCGAAGACACGGTTCACGTGCTTTTCAAGACCCCTTGTACCCTTCGCCTTCCACATGAACCAAAATTTCAGTACATCCGCCCGTCGACCGCACTGCACATGTTTGTCTCCACTATCGTAGGAGGTGTCATAAAACTTGTCTGGCTGAAAAAGGTAACTAGCTTTGGAACCGTGTGCAGCCTGCAGAAGACCTTCATGACGCAGTAGCAAGGTTGAACACTGTTGGGGTGCAGCTAGCAGTTTGTGGGGATTCCAGGTAACAGAATCAGCCAGCTTGATGCCATCCAGAAGGTGTCTGTGGCTTCTAGACATCAGTGCTCCACCTCCCCAGGCTGCGTCAACATGAAACCACAGGCTATACTTCTTGCAGATGGCTGCTATGTCCTTCAAAGGATCGTAAGCACCCAGTACAGTTGTCCCTGCTGTTGCAGATACCATCAATGGAGTGGCACCTTCACTAATAGCTTGTTTGATCCTTGCCTCTAAATCTGTGACACACATCTTGCCCCTAGCATCGGTTTGCACCTCATATACATTGTTGTTTCCTATTCCTAGGAATGCGCTGAGTTTCTTAACTGAATAATGAGCATCCTGTGACGTAAAGACTATCAGCCTGCCAGCACTGGACAGTCCCAAATCCTTCAACTGAGGAAACCTAGGAATAACACATATGTTAATACATGTAGCGAACAGGTATTTCTAGGAGATCACTTGATGGCTAGGCTAATTGATCAGCTTCCATTTTTTCTTAGCCAATTCTCTGCTAGTTTTATCCCCTAATTCCTGACACTTTGAATCACTAATTTGCTATTCATTGATGAACCAATCAAGCCTTATAAAACTATAAGCTAGAAAGACATCAAGCCATCTCCCTAGAGTACAAACGAAATTCAAAGCTTCACTGTAATCACTACCTGTAGTGGCGAGCAAGATTGATGGCATAGCCGTTGGCAATGGATCCACCTGGACAGAATATCCCGTCGCCTCTGCCATCCGTCCAACCGACTATCTTCCTCATCTCTCTCAACAATTCCTCCTCCATCAACGAGAACACCGGCGAGACCTCGTAAGTGTACACCGAAGGATTCAAAGCGTCTGTCAGCCATTGTCCCAGGAGACCGTACGGATCCACGCTCGAGTAGAGTTGGTTCACGAACCGCGGGTGACCCGTTTTAACGCTGTACTTGATCACGTTGCGAGCCAGCGAGGCGAGTCTCTCGTGGGAGCATCCTTGATCGGAGAGCGTCAGATCAACGGCTGAATGGAGAGCGGCCGGCTCCATCCACTCCACCACACGGCTCTTCCTCGAGGTTCCCTGAACAATTAGAAATGGTAATTCTCCACAATGTTGCAGAAAAAGATATAACGATCATTAATTATTGCTAGGTGATTGTTAGCTGTGGACCAGATAATAGAAGCGGTACCCTTCAGTCTCATGATCATCGAGGGAACAGTACGTTTAAAGACTTCGAGGAAGAGGAGAAATCACAGCTGTTCTGCTTCACTGAAGTCACCAGTTTCCGGGACGTTTCTTTGACTATGTCCTTCGATTCGATAAAGGCTAGTTTGCAGTTGAACAAAAAAGCAACACCGCGTACATGGTTTCGCAACGCGTTTCTGCGAAAGTCAGGAAAGTTTGTACTAGCGTTTAATAGCGTCGACACTTTCCTCATGATGCGAGCCGCTTCTAAGAATTTCGCCGCGGAGATTCCTACACCGTTCGGCACGCGGGCCTCGGATCGTTCCTCCTCCGTGACGCAGGTGTTTTATCTCATCCGCTGCAGGCGAGTCACAGCAGTCATGACTGCGGCGTAATTCTTTGTCCATGAATTGACGGTGTCTCGTTAATTATTGACGTAGGAAAAAAGCGCATAACGAATGTTTGACTCACGTGGAACGCTTAACAGTGCCACGGAGGGGGGGAATGCTTGAAAAGTATTCGACAGTCGGGATTCAACCGCGGGAAACCCATTTCAGATTGGGAAATGCGAATTCCTGTCGAAATGAAGGGTAAGCTTCTTATTTAATATTGGAATGCTCTGAATTCAAATGGGTATTCTTGTTTGATTTTAGGATTACGTTGGTGGGAATGTATAATGGAACGTTCTAATGACTTCTTTTTTCAAATTGTTCAGATTTTAGTATTAAGACTACCGAGTAATTGGAGTGACTTATTTTTAATTTCTTTTAAAAATTAGAACACTTTTAAAATAATTATTCAGTTATTAATCAATTAGAATAATTTTGATAAAAATTAGGAGAGTCTATTATTCTTGCATCTATACAAATACACAAATTTATTTTGAAATAATTCTCAATTATGTTTGAAATTAAAATTTTGAAATAGACCAATTTGAGCTGTATAGTAGTTCTAGTGTTAATTTAGATGCCGGAAATCATATCGAATAAGCTTCACAATAATTGTGATATATTGAAAGCAAAATTTTTCTTAAATAATATTAGATTAAATTTAACGAGATAATTTATCAATATACAATATTAGTTACTCCAGTTGTTGAAAAATGAATTAAGAAATCCTTGGCTATTTCAATTTTCAAGATTGTCCAACAACCTCCGATAGACAAAGTGTTAATTGGATATAACTAGACACTGATTGCTTACATTAGCATGCAATAATGTGTAAATATACATTCTGTCTCGCGGTAAATGTGTCAGGATTTGCATGATCCAATTTTAAACATTTTAATATGTAAATCAATGGCATGCGGCGGTACATGAATCACGGTATTCCAAAGATAGATTTAATTTTATCCTGCCTCTAACTTTCTAATAATTTCATACCGTGGATCATTCGAACCACAATTAAGTATAAACAAATTTAGCAATAATCTTTAAAAGAAACATTTAACACCTTGCCCGTAACTTCTTACAGACAATTATAATTGGACCCAACACTCGTCGCTTGATGCTAGAAGAGAAAGTCTCCTCACCAGTAATCAAGATAAATTGAAAATCAATTTCAATTCCCATTGGACCAGGTAAAAAACTTTAAAATTTGAAAATTATTTTAACCCTCCGCCGGCAATATGTGGCCTTTCTTTATTGTTTGAGTTCTGTAGGAATGTGAACAAATTCCAGGATACTTATTATAGTCCCTAATTTTACTAAATTATTATTGAAATCGATAATTTCAATATATTAAATAATATTCCATAATATTCAATAATATCCAATAATATCAACTAATAATTCAATTTCATTGAATTATCATTTATATGTTTATAAATAATACTCCACCCATATCTCCATATCAATTTCAAAATAAAAATTCAAAATCCTAACGAAGTCATGAAGAAATGAGATTTTCGAGATAATGCTCCACATTGTCGACGAAGGGTTAAAATCTTGTTTACCCTTATCCCCAAGAAATCGTCGTCTCACCTCAAACACCGCTTCCTCCAGGAGCAGGTCGACGAAGCTCCTCATGAACTTCTCGTGAAGCTGTCGGACAGGTAGACTCTTGTAGCAATGATCCTCCAGGTCCTCCTCTTCGTTGGAGTCCAGATAACTATCCTCGGCGTTGTCCTGGTTGTCAAAGGATGAACGAACGGAATCGTTCTTCAGCCCATTCGTGGTGATCGAAGACATATTTGAAGCCAGTTTGCTCGGAGCGTTGTCCAGCGTTCGAGACTGATCCGGAGATACAATCGAAATTTCCTCGTTCGTGGGCATGACTGACGCACCGAGGCTTTCCTCGGTCTGGGTGCCGTGGTGCTCGTCTAGTTTCCTTTATACTTATTAATGCCCGCGAACCAAGGACAAGATCGTTGCGTGTGAACTACCTTCGGCTCGTTTATTCGCGGAGATAGCGCGCGACTGGCTCTCCTTTTCCTACTTCTATCGAATCGTGTCGAACCGACACTGAGGAGTCTTGATCGGTTGGGAACCTTTCTGCACAGGGTGTCCTGGCCGGTGGACCATCACCGTCAACCCAGCTGCAAGCACTTCAAGATGATATTGGCTGGACATCAGTCTCAGTACGTCTATTGTGGATTTTGACTAACTTTTTCTGGACTATGAGCGAAAAGTCTGGTGGAGACTTGGTTTCTTCTTATTTTGACGTTGATTGGTTCGTTTGGGAATCTCCTTCGTATGTACTGATTAACTCTTCGAGGCACAGGAGTTTTAACCCCTTGCCCTATGGTTGATTTCTTAACTATGATCGATACAACTTCTTTATCGTTGATAATTTATTAGGAAAAGACAAAATTCTGATGCTTATTCTACGTCTACGTTTACTCCAAATAGTAATGATTGATGATAGAAAATTAATATTTAATTAAAATTTTTAAAAAAGAAGTAACACTTGGATTTGTTGAATTCAGTTTTGAATTTTCGTCACGAGTCTGACAGGATATTGTAGGGCCATGGGGTTAAAGAAAAAAAGATCAAGTTGCACGGAAATATAAAAAAATATAAATATATTTTAGAAATATTGAAAAATATAAAGGAAGATATAAAAATGTCTAATATAAAAGAAATATTGGAAAAATATATAATTATTAAATTAAAAATAAAATCTATTTATACAAAGTTGCAATTGGGATCGTGTGCCGCGAAGAAATCAAATATTTTTCTGGGTATTGACCTATCCTTTGTAATTAACAGAGTTACGAGAATTCTCTGAGTTCGGATGAAAAGCTGGATATTTCATAATTAAAACAAACTTGTGCGCGATACCACGCGATTTGCATTTTTATTACGAGCGAGTCTTATTTAACTGCGTTCCTTACATAATTTTATGACGTCGTTCAGTCGTGGGAAGTTAAGTACAATAGCTGATGGTTTTTGAGCGATCAGTCTCATTGAAGGCGGACAATTAGGCGATAAGTAATTCTTTAAAATATTTTCATATATTATTAACATTATATTTATTGTTAATAATTTAACGTATAATTAACATATTGTTAATAATTTAATATATAAACTCCTTTAATTAGCTTTTTTAAGGAATTTTTAGATAGAACATTTTCATTAGCGCTTCGCACTTAACACTTAGGCAATCACTTGAAAAAAAGAACTATGACTATAACTTTTTCAATTACTTTTAACTGAACTCATATAACAGATAACATTAAAAATTGTGCTTTACAAAAGCAAGAAAAATATTTCATAAATTGCAAGATTTACTAAATAGTAAGAATTAAATAAAATAAATAAAAGTGGGGGAACTCCCCATTCGTTTGACTAAGTGTAAAGACTCCATAATTTTATTTCGTCGGTCGTAAACTATAGGTGTGCAGATAATGTAGCATGTGACAGTGATTATGCGACTCTAATAACGCAATAAAAAAAGAAAAATACTTGAAGTATATATGCATAAATGAATATACATGCTTTCGGGATTGCAAAAGCGGAAACGTGTCATTCATGCATCGCGTGTACGATGTCACATGCTATTAAGATCAAACTTTCTTAAATTACGGCCGTCATTTGGTCACTGTAGTGTTTTGACTGCCGATAAATTCTTATTGTCCATTAATTGCGGATAAAACGAGTACAAATTGCAGCTTATTTCATTGAATGTTTCTTGGGCAGTTATCAAAGAGCGAATGAATGTTTTTCAATAGCAAAAAGGTTGATAATGCTTGTTGTAGATGTGTGATACCTGTACAAGTAATTTCAAACATAGAAGATTTATCATATCACCGACAGATTGAGTATCTGAAAAAGATATGTCTTTAAAGAGATATGTTATAAGTAATATATGATGTAGTTCTTTTAATGATTGTCTTAAAGGTTCTAAAAGTCAATGAAAATTGATTAAAACGATAACTCGATCAATTGTAATCATTCTATTCTTTACATAAATATGCCTACAAATATAAATATTAATATATTCACTTAAAAAAATGTTTCATTATTAAATAATTAATGCATTGTAGATTGAAAATCTTCAAAGTATGGTACAAAATATTATTTCTTTTGTTTAAATCCAGGTAGTGTGAAATTATTAGCTTTTCGAAGCTCATATGCTAAGAATTAGATAAATATAATATAGTATAAAATCTTTATTCTTCGTGTTGTATACATATAGCAAAAAGTTTTACAAATATTACAGTAATAGAACAATTTCTTCATCTTCAGTACTGATCTTATTATAAAAATATACCTTATAAAGTGAGCAATTAACAAGTTTCAACATTTACATTAACATTAACATTAACATTAACATTAACATTAACATTAACATTAACATTTACATTTACATTTACATTTACATTTACATTTACATTTACATTCTCATGATATTACAGAAACATTAGGACATTCACTGATTGCATTTTTGCATCAGAAAAACGGTGAATTAACATTTCACTTGAGATTCGAACGTTTCAAATGAATTTTCAAAAATTAAGTAACAGGCACTGAAAGATATTGCTATAAAGTATAAAATTTTACAAGAAGATCGATAAAGAGGTCAGCAACAAGTTTCAATGAATTACATTAATCGAATTAATATTTATTTTAATACAAATTATAAACTTTATTTATGAAAATTTCAATGAACTTTGCTTCGGACACCTCTATATCCTTTCATATTTTCTATACATCCAGTAAGAATGTAAATAAGAACATATATTAATCTAAATAAATTTATAATTTTTTATTCTTATATGATATATTAAAATAATACTTTAAAATATGCCATAACGTTGCTTTATACTCTCTATTATTGGTAAAATATACTGTAATAAAGTGCAACAATATTAATCGAAATTGTTCACACACAATTTAGAAAAATTTCAATTTTATAGAATTAAAACAAATTTAAATTTAAAATCGTAAAGATATCAGGTGGGCTGTATAAATCACTTAGAACTATAGCTTAGATTACTATAGTTGCACAAAATAATTAAAAAAAATCCGTTTAACATGTTTGTTCTTATATTTTTGTATCTATACGAATATTAACTTAGTAACATACCTAATTTTAAATTTTGCAATTCTCTTATATTATTTAAATCATTATGTATCAACCGAAATAAGCACCGCAATTAGAACAACGCCGTGTTTTTAACAGAAGGCAGCAAATTATTCCAATGGGGAAGCAGAAAATTGCGCATAGCAGTCCAAGACATGTAAAATCATCTTCCATTATACCTACCTGTATTTCAAAAGTTTAATATCAATAACACTGTGAAATTCATATAAATACTTCTATCATCTGATGAATCATTTAACAAAGAAATGAGAATGAATGAACATATATGTGTTTATAATATCTTATAACTTGTATAACTCAATTATAAATACAATAACGAATTATTTTGTAGATAATTAAGGGAGTACTCACTCTACATGCAGGACATCCACCGACTACTGCAATGTTAGTGGAATCCGTAGAACCATAAGATGGTACAAAGTTATTAGTTGCAGGTTTACTCGGATAATATCCTGGGGGTGGTGGCGGAGCAGTTGGGCTATACTGCATAGCATTCTTCATAGGAGGCACCTGATCTAAACAATTTATTATAGAATGAATAGCTTACATAAATAAACATTCAATAATATATCAATTAATAGTCATATAATAATTCGTAATTTCATTCAATAATAAAGTTAATTTATACATTAGGTCTTCAGCTATTTGAACATTTGCAAAATGAATAATTCAGATGACAATGAACAAAGAACATTTAAGAATTGATTTATGGTCATTTTTAATTTTCAGAATGAAAATGAAATTGTTTAAATTACTTGTTTAAACTACTTGTTTAAACAATGTTTATAACGCAGTACTATGAAGTAAACAATTGGTTCTTAAAAAGGTAAAAAATTGTTAGAAAAGAACGTGATGTTGCTGAATCATTTTCGAATTATATTTTTAAGTAATTAAAGCTTGGGTATGCTGAATACATATTTATACATATAAATAAACTTACTTTCAGGAATATTAATCGCATAGGAAGATGGAGATTTGTCAGCTCCTGAATTCAACGGTTGTTCTTCCATTGTTCACCGTGAATTTAATAATTTTATAGATATGATGTTCAACCGATTGGTTAATTAGATAATCAGCATTAGTACTTCTGTGACTAAATTTTTTTTGACAGCTAAGTCCTGGAATGCTTTCTTCGATCTCGTGACGCGCTTCCAAAACAGATAATGCATCGTTATTTCCGCTGAGAAAGATTTACGGACCCTGCAAGATTAACATTGATTAGGGAATAAATCTTATTGGTCAGTTTATTGTGACGTCGTTTCATTATTTGTTCGACCTGAACGTTTGTATAAACTTCTCCATTTGTATTTCTGTAATCTGTAAAGTACATTTATTTTTATTGAACGTTAAAATAAATGATTTTTTATTTTAACCGCGTCAGTATAAATTAACATCGCTATAAATAATATAATATCCAATAATTTAATAAAAATCTATCTTCAGTAATAAAATATAAAAAATAACCATTTAAACAAATTTTATTTAATCGAAACAGAATCCAGAAAGCATATTTTGTATGAATGTTCCTATCAGCCAATGGGGTTACAGCAAAATAGTTCCTGCGATTCTCTAAAATCTCGTTGGACTTCTTGAATTTCGCGAAATTTCAAAAGCAATGTTATACTCACTCAAGCAACTTCAGAATTTTATTATTCATTAAATAATTCAATGAAATTCAAATATTTTCTTCAAATAGTATTTATATTTTCAATGTTTTAAAATATATGTAATAATTGAAAATTTAATGTTACAGAATAAGTGTACCTATTCATTAATATAGGTTAATTGGAGATAAATATTTCTTATTGAGGATTTTATCGAATCAAAGTAAAGTATAAGCATAATTATTAGTTTTTATATTTTTGTGCATAATATAAATATACATTAATATCTATCGTCTCAAATTACAATTATTTACCTAAAATAATTAAATGTAGTAGATGGCGCTTTCGCGCCATGAATACGCATGGCGGGTATAGTTGGCAGCCATGAGCGTGATGTCTATCACTTTCTACCATCTACGACCATCGATTGCTCATTTGCGAAGTGGTTTCAACAGTTTTTTTACCATATAGGCTGAAATAAATTTTACGGAATTCAGGATTACACTGAGTCGTTTACATGAGGCGTGCAATTTTTCTTCATTCCGTGATTAAGTGAAGGGAACCATGACGACGGCACTGTATCTGGAACATTATTTAGACAGTAAGTATACAATCTTTTTCCACCTTGTCGAAATCATGAAAAAACAACTGTTTTTTTTTATGTATTATATCGAATATAAAACTAAATTATTTGACAATACATTTCTCGTTACAATTCATTGAATTCTGTTAGCAATATTCTACAATTTGTATGTGGTACATTAATTATTAAATTAAAACGAAATGACAAAAAACGTAAATAAAAGTAAACAACGAAATTTTTGAAAGTTCTGCCTTGTACGAAGTTTTATATAAGAAGTATTCAAAACTTATAAATTAATAATATCTTGTTGATTAAGTTTGTTACAACTATTAGCAGTTTTTATTTTTGATAGTGCAAATCATTTGTCTACTTTGGAAAAAGAAGTTGTTCTCACTGTGATATAAACTTTGTACATTGAAAAACTGTTTGTTGATTACATGCTTTGGTTTGATTTATAATATGTTTATATATTTTTTAGGTTTGGAACATCTACCTATTGAGTTACAAAGGAACTTCACTTTAATGCGAGATCTAGATACTAGGGCCCAAGGGTTAATGAAAGATATCGATAAATTGGCAGATGATTATTTAAAGAACTTAAAAAAGGAATCTCCGGAGAAGAGAAAGGAACAATTTACTCATATACAAAATTTATTTAATAAGGCAAAAGAGTATGGAGATGACAAAGTACAGTTAGCAATACAGACATATGAATTAGTAGACAAACACATTAGAAGGCTAGATTCAGACTTGGCAAGGTTTGAAGCTGAAATACAGGACAAGGCATTAATTAGTAGTAGAGCGCAAGAAGAAAATAATGCTAGTAAAAAGGGTAGAAAGAAGTTGAAAGAGAAAGAGAAACGCAAGAAGGGTGCTGCTGGTGCCAGTAGCGAAGATGAGTCAAAGACTGCCAGGAAAAAACAGAAAAAAGGTTAGTTTAGTTGTCTTCATATTTTCAATCAATTCATTGATAAAGGAGAAGTTATTATTCTTGTTTTGTACCTATACTAGGTGGATGTGTGGCTTCTGCATCATCTGCCGGTGCTGTAGGAAGTGGAGCACAAGTGGATTCTGGTGCTCTTGGGCATCCAGCAGATGTCTTAGATATGCCAGTTGATCCCAACGAACCAACATATTGTCTGTGTCATCAAGTTTCTTATGGAGAAATGATTGGTTGTGATAATCCTGATGTAAGTCTGTGTTCCAATACCTGTTCCTTGTTAATTTATTATTTTTTTATGGGCATAATATTATTGTCTTTTTCTAATGCAGTGTCCCATAGAATGGTTCCACTTCGCTTGCGTTGGATTAACCACAAAACCTAAAGGGAAATGGTACTGTCCTAAATGTACACAAGATAGAAAAAAGAAGTAAGTTTCAAGGTTTGCGAATTATTGTTAATTCTATCTTAAAGAAAAGACTCGTACATTATTTCTAAAATTAGCGTATAATACAAAATAATTTTCATGGTTTAACATGAAATGGAATTAAATTGTGTAAAAAAGGTAGAAAATTTGTAAAAAAATAAGTGAAAACAAAAGGAAAGTGCTAATAGCTGAATTTGTATTGCATCCAACATTGTTATAAGAGTATTCCTTCCTTCAAGGGTACACAAACAATAAATGTATTATTGTACATTGCTAGCAATGTTGGATGTAATGAAAGTGCAGCAAAAATATTTGCTAATCACAGAAAAGGAGATTTGAGAATCGGCCATGATTATTGTTCTCTTCCTTCTTTTTAGATGTACAAAGTAGTAATTTATTATATACAACTGAAATTCAAATAAGAGCTTTACATTTTTATATAATTCTTTTCTTTGGCCGTTTTTCGAACACCTGTGATTCGCTTATCGAAATTTTGTCTTTAAACTAAGTATTGAGAAACGTAATTATAGTATTAAAATTAAACTTATTACTGTTTTTATATTTTATAAATGTAAATGACACTGTATAGAGAATAAGTTTTTTGTTGAAATAAAATATACAATATAAATAAACCTTTTATATATATATAATTAAGGAAAATATATTTAATGTTCTGCAATGCAGACGTTTTGTTACAACAGTAAGTGTATATACTATATTTACAAGCAGTATTGAGTGTCTTAGGAAAGCTTGAATGGAAAATGCAAATGTTTAATAAGATCGAGGATTATTTAAGTTAATGATGTTTTCATGGGTATACTTACCAAATAAAATGTTTAGACTAGATATTGCTTTACACATGATAGATATGTACAACCGCTTTAAGAAATGACTAATGTACTGACTGCATAAGAAGAAATCATTCATTTGTTATGGAATGCCTGATTGTACGTTGCAACACTGACTAGGTGGAACAGTCCAATTATACTGATAGCTCATTCGATTTCTTATTTCTTTGGCGCATAATACTCCAGATGCTTGGTAATATTCATGCATATTTTTCATATTTGCAATTGTTTGTTTGTGTGTAACTATGTACTGATTGGAGCATCCGCGTGATCTGTATTCCGTATCAAAACGGACATCATGCTTTCGTTCAATATTTGCCAGAGGTGCTAACCAAAGACCAATTGACACATCTTCCGCTTTATGCAATCTGAAAATTTATGGAACAGGTAAACATATTTCACAATGTTAAACAACATTTAACTTACTTGAGAATATCCATGTTCACTGCAATAAATTTAACTAGATTGAAGGATAAAACGTATCCACCTCCGAGCGCGTATGGAAGATAATAATCACATAATATCCAATCAGTTTCTTTCCAAGGTCCACTCCTTTTAACATGTGCTTTGCCATTGAAGAAACCCCAATACAATTCCCTCTTGGTTCCTCTACTGTCCCATTTATCTAATTCTTTCAAAACTTTATGTACCAGCACAAATGAATCGTCATCACATTTCATTAAGTAGCTAAAGTCATGACGTTCGTATACTTCTTTAAGCGAATGTAAAACCTTTTTTGTTAATGTTCCATAAGAGTCTACCAATCTTGGCAATAAAAGCAAATCGTTAAACTTATGTTTTTCGGACTGCAAAGTTTCTTTCTGTTCTGGTAATACGTCCAATGTTCCTATTACAAAGAGATGTTTGACAGTAGCATGTTTTTGTGCCAACCATGTTTTTCTAATAGTTGCTCTCTGTTCCAAATTATCAGGACTGGAGAGTATAAGTATTACAAGCCTATACTTTGACTTGCTTTTCATGTCCTCCTTATCAGATGAACACTTTGTAGAGGGTAAGAAATGTACACACAGCAAAATAACCACAAATATTATTAACAATGTTGGAATGTTTACTTTGAAGTAAAACTTTTTCCTGATCATTGTATAAAAATTTTTTGATGATGATTTTAATGGTAGAAGTGCCATTGAATTCATTTAGTAAACACGTTTCTATCAATGAGCATACTTAACTTTCCTGATATTACCTCGGTGTATTTACGATTTGACGTACTAGCATTCTCACGAAGATTTCTTCTTTTAATATATATAATTTACAATTTTAACATTTCTTTTTAAAAAACTTATTTTCATTTATATTAAGAAGTTCAATCTTGTCAATGACGATCAGCTGATCGAATTCACTGAAATTTGTAAATCATCCCCTCTACGAACACGTTGCTGTTACATCCCCTCCACAAATATTCAAATTCAATATTTCAAATAAATTATCAATAAACGTTTAATAAAATGAATTAATGCTATTTTTCTTTTTAGTATTTTAATTATTACCTAAATAATTGTGTATATTAATAAGAAGAATAAGATTTGGAAAATTTATTAATAGACCATATTGAATTTTTATAGTATATGAAATACAATAACAGAAGAGGTTTGTTACTTGTTACTTAAATTGAAACTAAGTACGTAATATATTCTATAATACTTTTATTTTTTGTTTGTCTGCTTAAAATTAAATTATTTTACATATGAAATACTTGTATAAAAGAGACTGCTTTACATTTTTATTGTACAGAATTTATTACAATGTCCGTGTTAATGTCAATATCCTATATGATGTAGTGAACTGAGATAACAACTGCTATTCAACTAAATATCCAGTTAATAAATAACCTCCTGTATCACTAGCTAAAATATCAGGGTGTGTTCTATCTGGTAACACTTGATAAGAACGTAAAAAGTTTGAGACCAGCCTTAAATTAATAACATTTTGTTGTTGTTTTAACATCATGTATGTTTCTTGTAGGGGTTCCCGATGTATGTGATAAATCACAAAAGGTCTGGATGCTCCTAAAAAAGGTAAAAGAGCAGTTATAATATTTAAAGGATGCTCTTTAGCTACAACAGCTAGTCCTCTAGCTTTTGAATTCTTCACAAGATCCACAGCATGCTGGGTTTCCATCAACCATTTTGGTTTCTTTAAAGGTACAACTTCTGTAAACATACATTTATCAAGCTCATCTAATTTTCGTTTTGAGCCTGTTGAATAGTTATGCGTATCATGTTCTTTTGAAACTTCATCAGTTTCCATGAGTTCATTTGTACCATTAATGCTTTCTGAACATTCTTTGCTACTATTCTCTTCATCTTGTAAATCCTGGTTGTTCGAATTGTTCTCTAATGGGCCTGAATTGATTGTACAATTTTTTTCAACGCCTTTATCTTCATTTTCTTCTGATTTATTAACTAACTTACTGCATGTCTTCTTTGACGCTAAAATATTATTTAAAACAGCCTGTTCGCCTTGATAATATAGTCTTAGAAAGCTGTAGATATTGACACTTATTAATCTATCTAACTGTTCTTGAGGGAAATTCATAGCGTGAATGAGCAAAGCTTTTGGTACATTGCCAGGATGCAAATTGATCAAATGGCCTTTTGTATTTGCACCAATCCTATTTAATAATGCAGCTGCTGGTAAGCCCTGACATCCGCTATCATATAATATGAATAATCCTTCAGATTGAACATCAGTATACGATAACAACTGTGCCAATGCATCCATCCGTAAACTTCCAATTTTAGTATGATCTAATTTGAAATACACATCATGTAAAGAACTTATACTTGGCTTGCATATAGTTAAATATCGAATATATTTTTTTTCTTTCTTTTTCAAATACTTTTCTTGAGAATATTCCGTTTTATCAGAGAAAGATTTATTGTTTTCAATCAAGCTACCCACTATCTCTTTGCCACTTTTACCAGATTCCTGAAGCTGAACAATTTCTTGTTTTGACAGTTTCTGTGAACTGCCATCATCTATGATAGAACGATTATCATTGCCACTAGGTAAAGTATCTAATAAATCGTCCCAAGATTCAGTTTCTGAACCTTCTCTCAAAGAAAATGTTCTTTTTCCATTTTTTGATGGTGTCATCTCGAAAGTAGTCCAGAATCTTTTCCCAATAATTTCACCCATATTTACTAGATCTCTTCCTAGCATTAATTGTCCATTGGCAGTAACTTTATAAATTTTCTTAAAATTCAATTTTTTTACTATTACATACTTTCCTATCGCAATTACATCTTCGGATTCGCACATGTTTATGGACTTTCTTATACACGTTTTTATGTATTGTAACCTAAGTAGTCAACATAACCTAAGTATATAAATACCATATCATATAACCAACCGTACACCATCTGTCATAAAAGACCTCGCATTACTGTTTAAGCGAGAAACTTACCTAATGTTAGGAATTACTTTGTGAATTAATTTGTTAATACCTCGTTACCTCTTTGTTATCACATTTTTATTTATATCCTTGTACGTATTGAGATAAAAACATTTTAATCCTATTTCATTAAAAATTTTCATTCTTCTGTCATTCCATTTTTATTTAAAAAAGATCCATTACAGTCTTTTTAATTTTTATTGTAACTGTTATTTGTTGCAGTAATTAAGAAAAAATGTTTCTTTACAAAGAATTTCAAGCAGTTGTACTTGCCGGTGGAGGAGGATCTCGCATGACTGAACTAACTCACGGACAATATAAATGCTTATTGCCAATAGGGAATATACCAATGCTTTGGTATCCTCTTCAATTATTAGAACATGCTGGTTTTAAAGAAGCTATTGTTGTTGTTTCCGAGAACATGGAAAATAATGTGCTATTAGCCTTGAACAAATTGAATCTCAAGATTAAAACAGATATTGTTGCAGTCGAAGATGCGGAAGATCTTGGAACTGCAGATTCCATTAGACTCATACACGAAAAGATTCACACTGACTTTTTAGTAATTTCCTGCGATTTAATAACTAATGTTGACATATGTGAAATTCTGAATTTATATAGAAAACACAATGCCAGCATCGCTGCACTTATGATGCCTGTCCCTAAGCTACCAGAAGACTTTGTAACTCCAGGTCCAAAAAATAAACAGAAACCAGAAACTGATTTGATTGGTATTGATAACGAAACAGGACGTTTAGTTTTCTTAGCTTCAGCTTCAGATTTTGAGGAAACTATTAACATTTCACAAATGCTTCTTAAAAAGCATACAAGTTTTACTATCCACTCAAAATTATTGGACGCACATCTATATGTCATCAATAAATGGGTCTTAGACTTTTTGGTGCACAATAAGTAAATGATATATTATTAAATGGTTTTGAAAGTTCAATATATAACATATATAACACAATATTTTTTCTCTAATAGGACTTTTAGTACATTGAAAGGTGAACTTCTTCCATACATTGTTAGTAAACAATTAGCTAAGCCTCCTAAACAATGTGTAGATGATAAAAATACATCAATAGTAAAAGTTAATCTGAAGGAAGATATTTTCCGTTTTGCTGTTGAGAAACCACTGGATGAATTAATCAGGAAAATGTCAGCTCATAACGATCATACTACTGATTTAAATGACGCATATCATGGAGACATATTGAGATGTTATGCTCATATTGTTAATGGAAAATTTGGCCTCAGAACAAACACTATACAAATGTATCATTTTGCTAATGCCAAGGTAAAAATATAAAAGTAGCCCTTTACGACTGATAACTTTACACTAACAGGATAAGTATTTCAGATATCAGAATGGTGGGCTAATAACGACATAGACCGATCTGATATTCCAAGTATTTCAGCTACAGCTACTATACATAGTACACAGATGCAAGATTGTTGTGTAGATGATAATGCTATTATACATGAAAAAACTTCCCTTAAACAAAGTCACATTGGACCAAATGCGGTAATCGAATCAAAGACTCGAGTGTCTCAAAGTGTTATAATGGAAAATGTTATAATTAAGCAGAGGTAGTTGGTAAAATAATTAATTAAGCGAAATATATAAAGTAATGTTTTATGCATATAATTTATTAATTACAGATGCGTGATACATAACTGTATACTTTGCAATGGTTGTGTTATTGAAGAAGGTGCAGAATTAAAGGATTGCGTGGTTGGTCCTCAACATGTTGTAACAAGTGGAAGTCAACATTCTCGTGAAGTGCTCACTGATGCTGATAAACTTATAGAAATTTAATTATTTATCATCATATAAAGTATATTACTTATATAACCATAATAAATCACAAAATGTTTCTAAAACATTTTTGTAACTATTTCCTTGTTAAAAAGATAAAATCCAATTTTTTATTTTGGGTACTCTGATACTTACACCACTAATTTTATAAAATTCAAAAATATATAATATCCAACATATGATTAAACTGAATGGGTTTGTGCTCATAGATATTTAAAATTAATATAAAGTATGTAACTGTTCAATGAAGTGTTTATCTTTTTGAATTGAGAACCACTGTCACGTGGTACGAGCTGTTCACATTGATCGAAGGAACGTACGATTTTGGAACGCTTTTCATCCTCTCTTTGAAGTGTTCCTTCGTGCAAGATGGTGAGCGCAAATTCGGACGATTAATATCTGTTTATTACCAAGCAATCATAAACTTTTGTTATGTGAAAAGTATAAAAAATGTTTCGATAACCTTTTTAGAAATAAAATGTAACGATAGTTGTAACAGGAAAATGAAACGTAAATAAGTAATCGGTGTTACATTGTAATAGAGGTTATGCGTGAAATGTTTACAATTTGACACGCGGCTTTAAATTGTTCAAAGAAAATAACATATGTTCAGTTTGCTAGTGTTTTGTAATGTTTATTAATTTCTCTAAGTTTATATTACGCAAACTTATTTTGTAAAATTATTTTTACAGACGAAGGGTACATCAAGTTTTGGTAAGCGACGAAATAAGACACATACATTGTGCAGGCGATGTGGTCGCAGCTCGTACCACATCCAGAAATCGCAATGTGCTCAGTGTGGATATCCTCAGAAGAAAATGCGATCTTGTAAGTTCATTAAATACGTGATGTAATGCTCTGCATTCTACTTTTCCGCTACTAAAATTTTAGTTGTATTGTAGGTTAAATCAAGTTCTTGTTATTTAGCTTTAGTTATAAAATTTGAATCAAATTATAGTTTCTCAACAGTATTATGTTGTTCTTTAGATAATTGGTCGGTGAAAGCAAAAAGGAGGAAGACCACTGGTACTGGACGCATGCGTTACTTGAAGATTGTTCGTCGTAAATTCAAGTAAGTTTAAACTGATATGAATTAGCATCTCGTTCCTTGAGATACCAGAATTCAACAATTACAGTATTGTAAAGAAAAATATATTTTATTAATATTTTACATCTTTTTTAGGAATGGATTCAGGGAAGGTTTGCCAAAACCAAAAGCCGTTGCAACTAAATAATCTTGACCCATGTCATTGTGTTGTATATCTATAAGAATTTGATTACTAATAAACTATACAAAACTTCAAGGGAAATTATGTTATTTCTGTTAAAACAATCTTATTTTGAAAAGTATGCTTGTATTCGTTTTAGATAAACATATATATGTGTATATTACAAAGAGTTTACTGATAGTTCTGTTAGATATATATAGTTCTATTATTTTTACTAGGTAGAGAGAAAAAGATAATGCAGGAACAGGTGCAAACTGTAGCAGAGTAGGGGTACCTCGACTGCGCAAACGCATAATAAGCGCGTGTCCTTATAATCGCCGCGGTTTTACAAATTTTTTGCAGTTATCAGTGGTTTTACAGTGCACCATGATGACTTTTACCTGTGCATATCTGCTTTAGATTAAACTTTTTAGCTGGTAATAACGGTATGTGTTGCGACCGTGTTCATCCAAGATTTCGCCTTCATAAACATCAGAAGATTAAGAACAATCGTGTAATCATATAACACCAAAGAAAGCAGGGAACATAAAATTTGGATAATCTGCATCGTTATAAACAGGAAAAATCTGTGAGATAAAAAATCCAAGCATTCACTTTCCGCACAGTGGAATACAAGAATTTTCAAATCGATTCTATACTCATCACTCAAATGAACATTTGGAGAAAATTGTTTGGTAAATATTTCCTGAACTTCACAGTTCTGTACCAATTTATTACAGATTTTTCGTAACAAATAATTTCGATATTTCATTGTCAGACAAGTACCTATTGGCCACAAATACAGTGAGCTGTGGTTTGATGATGGCTGCAGCAGATATGATTCAACAACGCAGCGAACACTTGAAAAAGAGTAATAAGTATCTGCCAAAGGAAACTTCTGCGGTGGCTGTATCTTCACAAGAACAACAGCAACAGTTCGATGACGCTGCCGACTCAGACAAGTATGTGCACGATTTTATTAGAACTAAAAATATGACGGCCGTGGGTCTGGTTCAAGGCCCATTTCATCATTGGTTCTACATGGTTTTGGATAAAGTAATACCTGGTAGAACCGCATTGTCCGTTATTAAAAAAACGTGTTTGGATCAGTCAATCGCCAGCCCTACTTGCTTAGGCATATTTTTTATTGGACTTGGCGTGTTGGAGCGTCGGAAAATCGAAGAAATTTATGAAGAATTGAAAATAAAATTGTATGATACGTGGAAGGTATGTAGTTGATACTTTAGGAATAAGCTTTATGTATTTGCGAAAGTAATTTTGATGATATATAGAAAATCCAATAAAATCCTGATAATATAATGAAATATAAATTGTATTTTAAAATTCAATTAAAAATTAAAAATTATAAAATATATTATAATTTATATATATAAAATTATAATTATTTAATTACATATTTTATATATTATAATTTTGATTATATAATTTTTTTAGGTGGACTGTTGTTTTTGGCCTCCAACACAGTGTATCAATTTCTTTTTTATACCCTTCCGGTATAGAGTTCTGTACACGAATTTTATGACAATGATCTACGATATTTTCTTGTCATACATGAAATATGTAAGTGCCTGCATTCTCGACAATTATTTTTAGAATATACGTTGACGATTGTTTCCTTTACAGGATCACCAGTATCAGTAATGTGAAATCTCAAGACTAGTCTGTGTCCGTTTAGTGCCCCTTATTTCACTTTCAATCGCGCATAATCAATAACTTACAAAAAGTGTGAGAAACAAAATGTTTTGTTACTCCATAATTATTATTTGTGTTATTCAATTTCGTTATCGCGTTTCGAAACCTTTATTGTGCTTCACAGTTCGGTACATCTAACTGATAGGATTAAGCGTCTGTGTGATTAGCGTTGTGTGCAATAGAACGAAAACGATATTTTCATTAATAAATCGTTGAAACGTGTTAGCTCTGGAGAATCTATTATTGGAAAAATATTTTTACAGGTAAATTAATATTTAAAGTTTATATTATTAATTAACATTTAAATATTAAATATTAACGCGAAACAAAGTTTTGAAAAATATTTTCAGAAATACATTAATATTTGAACTATTAATATTTAAATCTTACTAATATATTTGTAAATTAATATTTGAACTATATTTCATACTTTAAACGCTGATTTGTTTATATAAAAATACTAGGCTTATAAAGGCTTATAAAAGGAAATGCAATAGGTGTACGACCACGTTTGACGCTAAAACAAAACAGTCTAAAGTAATTATTTTCAATATGGTATTTGTTAGAAGAAAACATAGAAGTCAAGAGTATTTTTACTTGATCTGAGTATGAATACCGGAGAAACATACGTTTTGCAATATAATGAAAAATATTGATCTTTTCGTTCTTGTTCGCTCGAAGTACAAAACTTTGGAACATTATCAGCACACGTTTGTTTTGACGCTGCCGCGTATTATAGTTGGCGTCAAAGTTTCGAAATTTATCGGTCTCGTGAATCCAAATGATCTTTATCAATACTGTTTTATCAACATGTCTATATGCAACCTCGTGTCTGATGCATCCAAATGGAATTTTTAATCGCTTTCTTATCATATGTGACAACCATCCATCGAACGGAAATTGTTTATTAGGGTTGATAGCTTTTGTTTGGCTTTCGGCGGCGGCGGGATTACGTGTTCTAAGCTTCCAGTCGCCAACGAGTAAACAGCGATTGTTAAATGTAAATACAAATAGTAAACTGTGTAAAACAATAAGCAAGATACCTTGCACACATTCCTACATTGGAACTTCCATAAGGGAAATTAAAACATTTGTACATGTACTCAATACGTATTAGAAAATTGGAATGTTGAGTATTAAAGTGAAAGTAGTGCAATCTGTAATTAGAATTAAAATGTAATTGATGATAGCAATGGTCCTATCAATCATGCTTGCATTAATACTTGGATTTATCATTTTTAATGCAAATGACTCATTTTTTATTCGTATAGAAAAAGATTTTCCTCTTTCAATAAAAATTCCATTTTACATGTGACGCAATAATTGGAACATTATTATAGAAATTGACAGTTCAAAATAAACGTGTTTAAATAATAATACAAATTTCATGGAGCATATTACATGAGTAAAAACTATGGAAATAACACATCTTATATAAATAACAGAAATTTAATGAACATTTGTTTTATTTAATTTTTTAAGATTTGATTGTTTAGGAAATGGAGGGAGATCCAACATTCGAGCAATGCCAAGGTACACTAACCCTGGAACATATAATTAATGTGACAATTTAAAATTTGATCAAAATAAAATGATGCTCGAGCCTAATTGAAATTTAATTAAAATTTTAAGTATGCTGCACATTAAAGTCTTACTGCTATCAACCGTTAAGTTACATTCTAGACAATTTTAGTCTTAATTAAATTTCTTTGTTTAAATGTGAAAAAATGAATTACCAAATCCAATTGATTGTATTATAAATTTTCCATAATTTCTTTGGACCATATCCCTTGCACAGTGCCCCATGTACAAACCACACATAGTAAAACATATACCACCAATCATTTTACATTCTATACAGTCTGTGTTTTGAATGTTGTTTACTATGCTTCTGTCGTTTTCCATTTTTAGTTAAAATTGTGTAACCCGATATTCACAAAATATTTACAGAAGAAATTTCGTGACGCATTCCTATTAAATTGTTGTCACATAGGTTATGTTTGAACTGTCATGCAGAATAGTAGGTAATAGTATATAGGTACATGTAGGTATTTTTATAATAAAGTTAATCGAGATCGAATATTTGAAATCCTTTTTTTATTTCAATAATACAGGTTACAAGGCGAAATTTTATTTTGATTTTTACGAAAATAATAGAAACATATATTATATCTCGTTTAATGAAGATAAATTAAAATATTAAATATTTAATTTTTATATTTCAAACATGTTTTATTGGTTAAGGATGTAGTAGTATAAAGTGTTTAAACTAACTGTAATCTATAATAATTTATATCTTCAACTTAGATACTAAAAATTTGACAGAGTATAAAAAAATAGTTTGACTGTATTTTGTACATTTATTTAATTATTATTTAATCTGTTGTTTTATTTTAATGTAATCAAATATACAAAGTATAAGTCTGCAGATTTTTTACATAATTCTGACCATTTTTCTCTTACTTGTTTATCAAAAATTGAATAAATAAAGCTTTGTTAGTTGTAAAAATTGTAAGAAGATTGAAACTCTCTGATATTTCTTTTTTATCATTTACTCAATGAGTTTTTTCACTTTGAAGAAACGCCTCAGGTATAAAACCTGGCAAGTGGAGAGTACACATAACCATAATGTGGAAAATATACTAAAGTGGACCACTCGAGCGTTCGTCGCCTCTAAAATTTCAGAAAATAATCATTATTTACAATTTGTCTGACTGCAAAATTACAGTGAATATTTCGTGTTTTACCGTTAGTGTCTCTCATTTCTTCTTCGTTCAACTTCATCCGAGCAAAGTCCAAAACAATTGCTTCGGACAAATCTTCCAATCGTTTCAATTCGACTTCAGAAGGTTTCAGTTTAGCAGCTTTACCTACCTATTAGTAAAAAAAACAAAAAAGGTCTCATTATTTAATTATTTTGCTGTTGTGAACACTTGAATGTTAAAAACTTAAAACAAAACAAGATTTAATTAATCAAATGAGTGTAAGTGTTCAATAACTACAAAAAATAACAGATATTACGTACTTCAAACTGTGTTAGAAATTATATTTAATTACATTAAGTGAAACATAAATAAAAATCACTGAGGGAGTGTAATTAATGTTTTGATAAGATTGGCAATTTTTCGAATGGGTGATGATCTACAGCAGTTGATAAAAATGCGAGCGAAATACAACTGTAAACACTCGATTAATTTTTTAGGTATTTTCCAAGTTCACAAATTCATTTTCTATTTCCATAAAATGAATTGGTTGTAAGAACTTTTGAAATACCCTGTTGAACTAACTGAAATCAAAACCCATGCGATTGAAACCTACACATAAAACAATTTCTCTACATTACCGACTGTACGCCCATACAAGCCACATATAGAAAAGAAAAGAGATTAAATATCATCAGATAGTTTTACAAAATTGACTGAATAGTTCAAGGACTGACAATCTATAATATGTATTCCACATTTCACCCATGTAAAAATGTGACAGATTGCCAACTCCTGTTAATTATTCAACAAATATGTTCTGTTTTTCCAATTAGAAGCCTATTAATAAGTTTCTTGATATTATTGCTTAACATATCGCTATGTATAAGAATCTTTACATTAAATAGGCTTCTCCAAGTAAAAGATCAATAATGAACCAAATATGTTCAATGAAAATAAATCGATAACAGAACATGTAATAAAAAGGATAATTTAATACATACTAATACTAAATGTGTAATAAAAGAACTTACTTCTTCATAACTTTTTGCTTCAATGCCACGCTTTGTAGCTAAATAGACTTCTTGTTTAACCTGTTTCATATCTGAAAGATTTTAATCATTGCAGTTAAACTATAAAGTTAAACTATATCTGTAGAGATGTATAGACATACTGCCTGAGAAAGACGGCTGTATGGCATGTGCCATGAAGCAAATTTCATATGTGTCATATGTCTCCATAACAAATGTAAATTTGAACCCTTTTCCATGAGGTATGTTATCATTTTTGGAAAGTACTTCCGATTTAGAATCTCGAATCTATTGAAAAACAGATTTCGAAACTTTAAATTAATAAAATATGTATATATCATATAGTATACATATATCAATGATAAAATATTTTAACTTTTCATGATGTAATGGGTAAATCTATTGAAACTAAAAGGTGACACGCGTCAAATGAGGTTAGTCGAACATAACCTTAACATGTAAAAGATGTTGAACTAAATAAACATTTGCCTAACACTTACAATATATTCGGTTTTAACACCCGGCGTTTCAGAGATTTCGTATTCTCCAATGACCAAAACATGAGCTTGTGCTTCCTCTTTTAAACATTTCACCGAGTTCGGTTCAAGATAGAACCTAACAGAATTTGCATATGCGAGCAAGGAAACGAATATCAATAAAATGCTTCGCATGTTTAAAATATTTCTTGTGATCACGGCGAATAATTTCAAACAACGATCGCGTGAATTAAACGAATGTTAAGAAAGAACTGTCATCATATTGATGAGTTGGCAGCCATTAAATATTTTGGGCGGGTCACGTGACGTGTCGAGAAACACGTGTATTCCACTTTTAAGACTTATATTCGACCGTTTAAATATTCCTATAATATAATATTTATTTCTATAATATATTACTTATAATGTAATACTTAGTGGTACATAAAATACAATATTTTTCCGATAATTCTGAAAACTATGGGGTGTGCGGCCAAATTCTTGTTAATAATTAGGACCATTCGATATTCACACTCATTGGTTGAGAGTCTCAGAAAAAGCAAAATAAATACATAAATAAATATATTTGTTGCCGCTAAATCACGACACAACTGCTAACAAACTTAACGTTGTGTATTATCGGTAACGTTGAGTGCGACACCGAAATGGTAAGGGGGTCGTGTGACAAAATTTAACATTGCATGTTATGTCTATTCTATACTTTAACTGTGATTGTAGATACTGGTCGGTAAATGCTTGTATTAAATGTCAACAATTTTTGGACGCGATGTAATCGAAGAAGCGTTTGATACATGTTTTTAATAAATGGGATTGAAAATGAAGAATACTTGTTTAAAAATGAACGTAGGTAGATACAGATAGCAAAGTTGTTTTTATTGTAGTAATGATAAAATATAATTTTCATAGTAGGCTTCACGTAACCTAACTTTGGAAACTGTATATGCTTTTTTTCTTCTATAAATACGTGACTTTTTAACGTAAAACAAGGATTTATCCGTTTGCGAGTTTCTTATTTATCTTGTTGTGAAAGTGTACATATATAATTTAATGAAGATGCAACGAACAAATTTACCTATCGTCCCTATGCAGCTTGACTCATCCATAGCTATTAAAATTAGCATGGGTGGATCTATGTTCCAAGAAAGAACACTAATGGGTAGATCTGATGTGTGGCACAAGGTGAGAATTTTAAAGGGAACTCAATATGACAAAGAAACCGTGTTGAAAGCTATATTGAATGCCATTGAACCAGCAGAATTGGTACCTGTTAAATATCAAGCCATTGGAGAGGATACGTATTTTCTGGCACGAAACTGTGCTCATGCTTTAGACAAACTATGCAAGACTAACTTGATAATCAAGAATCCAGAAGGAGATCCGTTGATTTTAATAGTGACATTAGGATTTGCATCTATTCATGATTTGAAACTAAATCTTCAGCCATTGCTTCTTGCAGCACTGGCTAAGAAATATGATCCCAACAAGAAGAGCTTAAATTTGGAACAGTTCCACAGAGATCCTGACATGTCAAAGACTGTCTATTGTCCTCTATCCCAACAAAGAACATTCAATCATGTTATGAAATTAACAAAGACTGCTATTGCCACAGTGGAAAACCTAAATCTTCAAAAAAATGAACTGTTCAATCTCTCTCCCATAGAAGTTTCTGGTTTGACTTCCATTAAATATCTAGATTTAAGGCACAATAATTTATATAATATGGAGGTTCTTGCCCCACTGAAAAGTCTGTACATATTGAAACTGTGGCTGGATGGGAATCCTCTCTGCGAAAATTACTCAAAACCAAAACAGTATATAGAATCAGCGAAGAAATATTGTCCTAATCTGATCCAACTGGATGGTGTTTATGTTAAAACAACTGGTCTACCTGTAACCTACATAAGGTACTTAAAAAACGAAACCAGGGAAGATCTAGTCAATAAATTCGTCACGCATTTTTTTAACTTGTATGACCATGGCGACAGAACAATTCTCAGAGGTTTATATCATAAGAACGCATTTTACTCTATGTGCTCGAGTATTCCTCCGGCCGTAGCTCATAAAAGGAACCTCGTTCAATTCACTGCGTGTAGAAACTTGACAAAGAATGCGGATCCTACTAAGAAGAGACAACACCTTTACTTTGGCCAGGACAATATCCTGGGTGGGTTGAAGAGATTACCAAGATCCTATCACGACAAAAATTCGTTCGTTTGCGACCTGATTTACGATGATGGAAAATGTATAGTTATCTCGGTCGGTGGTTTATTTAAAACCATGGGTAATGTTTCTCAAATTCTATCATTTAATAGGACGTTTGTATTACTGGCTGGAGCAGACAATGAGTATAATATTTTAAACGATCAATACTTTGTCGAGTTGACCATAGAAGAAATTCCACCAAGCAGCATTGAGACCAAGATCTCATACGAGGAAATAGTACCGACGTGCTTCAGTTCCACCGAGAAGAAAGAATTATTGCACAAATTTTTAGAGACAACCTCATTAAATGACGAATGGTGTCATACGTACTTACAGGAAGCTAAATGGGACTTGAGAAAAGCGATTTCAAATTTTATGAAAGACTACAAATCAACGACGGTACCGGCCGAAGCATTTTCAACATAGTATTTCATATATTGTTTTAATTATAACAAACTGTACATTGAATGAAAACTGTATGTTAAGATTGTAAATACTTTGATGAAATATATTTTCACTTCTTGTAATTATTGTAATTATCTCCTTGTAATAAAATAATTTAGATTCGTGTCGTATGTATTATGTTATTCTCTGCATTACCGGCAGCCGCTATTTGTAATAGATCTTACGTATGTGCCGTCTCAGTCGTGCAGAGTTCGCTAGCATATTTTTTGACGATATCCGTAATTTAGGATTGCAGACAGAAAATTGTATTAAATAGTATGTCTGTACGGCTCTTATTTATATCAAACTCTTAATCGTGGAACGTCTAATTTCATTCGGATATATGTATTTAATTAATTCTTACGCGGTTTCTTGGAAATTCAAAATTATCAGAAAATAATTTAATAACCAATATAGTTTTATTCTATTCGTCTTACATAGTACTTGAACTAATTTTTGTAGATTTCCTATCAGTTTTGATAAACAATACTATCGTTAGTACAATTTCTAGAATCCCACATTTCTTTTAATAAAAATTTATAAATATAAATTTGTACAATAAAAATTGCATCTATCGTTTCTGAGTTCTAAAACTATTAGGTGATTATACATCAGAAAATAATTTAGTGACACATGTTAATACATTTTCAGAAATTCATTTTTGTCAAGGTATTCCAATGCAACTTTAAACAACTGTCAAATTTAATGATAATGCCAAAAAGATATCTTCAAACTCCACCTGAGAAAAAATTGAAAACAGTCAAAGACTCTGTCAAATCAACCAAGAACGTGACAATTTCTACTGAACATAACCTCGACAAAGTCACTACTTTTCTTAGCAATATGCAAACTGAAAAGCACGATGAAAAGGTTTTAGACCATATTAAAACAGTTCCAGAGATTAAAGTCGCCCATTTAGACACACCTACTAAATCGGAAAATGACAAGAAAGAATACAGGTGATGAAAAGGTGCATCGTGTAAAGTCTTTCTGCTTTCTTCACATTTTAATGATTTTTCATTTTGTTTAGGGTAATTAAATTAGAAAATGGATTGACAGCTTTGTTAATCTCGGATATGCATTCCCGAGCCTCTCAAAATTGTAATAATGAAACAGAAAGTAAAAGATACAGTTACTACTTTACTTCAACATGATTTTATCACTTATATATTAATTATTAATATTTGTTACTTACCAGTGAATGCAATAGCTAGTGACAATGAGAGTGAAGAAGACAATGAAGATGATGAGACTGAAAGTGAGGGCGACGATGATGATTATGAAGATGATGATGATGATGATGATGATGAGGATGATGATGATGATGAGGACGATGAAGATGATGCAGAAAATGATCAAGTTGAAGAACATAAAATGGATTCAAAAAAATCCTCTGCTCGTCGTAAACAGTTAATAAGAGAAGAAAAAATGGTATTTTCATTCTAAATATATAATTTAATGTATATTTAATACAAATATATGTACTGATCATATTCTTAAAGTACAGTTACAAACATTTTTTATATAGGCAGCATGCGGTTTATCTGTGGGTGTAGGCAGTTTTAGCAATCCTCCAGAAATCCCTGGTTTGGCACATTTTTTGGAGCACATGGTCTTTATGGGATCCGAAAAGTATCCTGAGGTATTGATCTCAAGCTTAATAATTAAAAAATTATTCATAGCTATATAAGTATATTATACCATGCATGATAATTTCCTACTGTACCCATATGATTCTCATTTTCTAATACTAAATACTATAGCCATTTGCATTTATGTTTTGCAACTGAATTTAGAAAGAGTTAATGTTCAGTGACTTTGTAGGAGAATGACTTTGAAGCATTTATCAAAAAAAGAGGAGGTTCAGATAATGCTTCTACTGATTGTGAAGTAACAACATTTTACTTTGAAGTTCAAAAAAAGCATCTTTTATCTGCTCTTGATCGATTTGCACAATTTTTTATTAAACCCTTAATGAAAAAGGACGCTATAACGAGAGAACGTGAAGCTGTAGAAAGTGGTACGTATTAATATATCAGAAATAATTCCTTCAAAAGAATGGAAAACAAAATTAAATTTATTCTATAGAATTTCAGATGGCCTTACCGTCTGATGTGTACAGAAAAGAACAATTGTTTAGTAGCTTTGCAAAACCAGATCATCCTGCCACAAAATTTTCATGGGGTAACTTGGTAACATTACGCGACAATATAGAAGACGATAAATTGTATGAACAATTGCATAAGTTCAGGGAATATCATTATAGCGCTCACAGAATGACCCTTTCCATACAAGTGAATATATTCTACCAACTTATAATTTAATTTTGAATGGATGAAATGTTAACTGCAAATTTCTACAGGCTAGACTTCCATTAGACGTATTAGAAGATTATGTAAAACAATGTTTTGCAAATGTACCGAACAATGGGTTACCTCCAGATGATTTTACAGTGTTCAAAGGAGCAGATTCCTTCGATACACCGAGTTTTCGTAAAATCTATAAAATCAAACCAACAAAAGATATTTGCAAAGTATACTGTCCCTCCTTTACTTTAAGAATTCTTTAAAAAAATGTTGCCTACTAATTGTTTTCTGAATTCTGCAGGTAGAATTAACATGGGTGATGCCACCTATGCACGACTTGTACAAAAGTAAACCACACCATTACGTTTCACAGATCGTTGGATACAAAGGAAAAGGTTCTTTGATCAGCTATTTAAAAAAAAAGATGTGGTGTTTGGATATTAACAGCGGAACCGACGAAAGTGGTTTCGAGCACAGCTCCATGTACGCATTGTTTAATTTATCGTTAGTGTTGACCGAACAGGGACACGAGCATCTACAAGAAGTACTGGACGCTGTATTCTCTTATATTAAAATGGTGCGTAAGGAGGGACCCCAGAAACGAATATATGACGAAATGCATAAAATAAGAGAAACGAGATTCAGGTGAATACACATATAAAGAGTGGATTGTAGTCTACGAATGAAAATTTTCTCCTTCAATGATTTTGAAGTGGCTCACTTGATTCGACGTCGACTTTAATGGACGGAGAACACTGAAAGTATTGCTTTCAGATACATGGATGATATACCACCAGTCGACTATGTGGAAGATTTATGCGAGAGTATGCATTATTATCCTCCTCAAGATTATATAACTGGTGGCCATTTATATTTCGAATACAATCCCGAGGCTATACAAGTATGTATGAATTACTTGATCCCGGATGACGTGAACATTATAATTTTTAATAAGAAATACAACGATGAAGAATTCGAGAAGATTGAGCCATGGTTCAAAACTAAATACACCGATATGGAGATACCGAAAGAATGGATGGAACGCTGGCGTACCATAGAACCATTGCCCGAGTTCCATTTACCGCTACCGAATATTTTCCTTGCCGATGATTTCAGTCTTATCCCTATACCATCAGATGTTCCTAAGTATCCCACAAAAATCTATTCAGATGAAATAGTTGAAGTTTGGTATCGACCTGATCCAAAGTTCCGTCTACCTGAATGCTATATGTATTTTTATATTATATTACCTTCGATTACTTATTCGCCTAAAAGGTAAAGTTTCATAAATATCATGTAGCTGTAGTAACATTCTTAAGAAAGGACATCATCTAGAGGCGTCCTAAATATGGGTAAACTTTAGGAATTTTTTTTGTTAATAACCATGAAGCGAAGACTTCTAATTTTTTCTAGGTGTATAACTGTAATCTTTTGCTTTATATTTATATTTTTTTCTAAGCCAAAATGTTACAAAATGTTGGTTGACACGATTGCAAACAACTGAAATATCTGAAGACAAACATTTTTGTAGGTTTATAAACGGAAATATGTTATCTAAAATATAGTGTACAGATTTTTCGATATTTCAATTATTTCATTTTTTATAAATATTTGAAGTTAATTTTTAGGGGTAAAAACAGGTTTTTGCACTTCAAATGCTTGCCATTTCCATAATAATTAAAATTTCGAAAAATCCATAGGCTACATTTTAGATAATATATTTCTGTTTATAAATTCACGGAAATTGTTATTTTCGGATGTTTCAGTTGTTTGCAATTAAGTTGATCAAGAATGGATGCTTTAGGAAAAGGGGTAACACTTTGGTTTAGAAAAAATATAAATATCAAGCAAAAGGTTACACCCAGAAAAATTCAGAAGTTTTCACTTAATAATTATTAACAAAAAAATTTTTAAAGTTTACCAACATTTAAAATGTCTCTAGATGGAGCTCCCCTTAATTTAACTAATGTGCATGTGCTCCTTACAGTGCCGCTTTGGCAGACTTATTTACCTCAATATTGAGGCAACTGTTAGTAGAAGAATTGTATCCTGCAATTGACCTAAATTATGAAATTTACACAAGCGACAAAGGTATTGCTGTTAAAGTGAGTGGATTCAACCAGAAACTGCCGGTAAGTTGATACACTACATTGCACTGTTTGCGTTATAACTCTTCTTTACAAACTATCCGTTTTCAGTTATTATTATTCACTATAGCAAGGTACATTGCGGAGTTTCCGACACTCGTGACAAAAGAGTTATTTGACATTATGAAGGAAAAACAAATTAAAGATTATTACAACAGATTTTTAAAGCCTAATAAGCTAGTGGAGTATGTGGCAAATCGTACAATTTTACAATCACTAAAATAAATCAAATATTTTGATTTTTATAAATTGTTTTAGTGACGTGAGGTTGTCAATTTTATTGTTGGTTCATTGGTCGGCTACTGACAGACATATGGCTCTCAGCGATGTTGAGTTCGAAGAGTTTCAGAATTTTGTCAAGTACCTCACCAATCACGTTTACATCCAGAGCCTGGTGCAGGGTAACATGACAAAGGAAGATGTTATTAAAAATGTGCAGGAATTCATTAAGATACTGAAATGTGGACCAGTATTGCCTAATACTTTGCCTCAGATCAGAGTTACCCAAATACCAATGGGTTCTCATTGCTGCAAAGTAAGGAATTTCAATGGAAAGGATGTAAATTCTGTTATAACAAATTACTATCAATCTGATGTAGCGTCTATTAAATTGTTAATCATCATTGAACTTATTATTGTAAGTGCAAGATTCATCACCATGTATTGCATTGTAATTTAAAATTACAGAAACTAATGTGCTTTCATTTATAATTAGATGATTATGGAGGAGCCTGCTTTTAATCAGCTGAGAACATTGGAGCAACTTGGCTACGATGTCTTCTGTCTTGTCAGGGAAACTTTTGGAATACTCGGATATTCTGTTACAGTTCAGACTCAAGCAGATAAGTATTCAACGGAACATGTGGATAATAGGATCGAAGCATTTTTAGAGCTCATCAATAAAATTCTGAAGGAAATGACGGAGAAGGAATTTGAGCTCATAAAGGAGACATTGACAAAAGAGAAGCAATGCGCTGATATAAGTTTAGAGGAAGAAGTTAGCAGAAACTGGGCAGAGATTGTGACAGAAGACTACATGTTCGACAAAATTGAAAGGGAATTAGTTATGATAAAACAGATCAAACTCACTGACCTCTGTGAATGGATGAAATCTCATACCACCAATGGAAGCAATTTAAGGAAGTTAAGTGTACAAGTTATTGGAACTTCTAAAACAACAGAGAAAGAAAGTAGTGACAATGTTGACTCACGTATAAACAAACAAGAAAGTAAGTGTAATAATATACATCAAAACAAGTCTATTTTGTATTCCTACGTCATTCCCATTAAAAAAAATAATACTGAAAGAGGTCATACAATTTCTAATGGCTTTTCTATTTTTCAGGCAATTCGGAAGTAGAGAAAACTGGAAACAAGAAGTATCCGTTTAGTTATATTGCCAACATGGAATGCGAGGACGACACGTGTTCAACAAATTACATCACTGACGTACAAGAGTACAAAAGCAGACTGTATAGTTATCCTATACATCGCACACTGCCTTCTAATATAAAACTCAATTAAATTAATATACACACTAATATCTAACCTGTTAACTGTGAAATTTAATTTCAGAAATCTTTGATAATGCTTACAATGAAATTAAATAATGAAGTGTATGCTCGTATAACACAGACCAAATGCACCTATAATATATTCTAACAAAAAGCTAAAGCAAAACGAAGAAGAATTACACATTTATCTGAAAAAATAAATAATTTATCATTGACAGAATTAGTATCATTTTGCTTTTAAGATGATATGTATACACGTCGAATGCAGTTAATTGGTTAACTCTGTTTAGCAAACAATAAAATGAAATAAAAATGAAATTCATATTACAAACACCATGGTCTGTTCCATTACCAATAATATTGTTCTATTTAATACACGATTTTGATAAAATAAAATAAATTTAAACAACCTTCACAAAACATGAATGTTCCACCATTACTGTTTTAGACTGTGAAAATACTGTTTACAATACGTAATGGAATTAAATAACTGTTTCATAGGAGGATGGACTGTGTTTTCAAATGATTAGATCGAGTTAGATATTTAATAATTACTTGTAATTATAAATTTAAATCTTTAGAAAAAACAAAATAGCTTAGAATATAGACAATCAAGCAAACATATAAGGCAGCAAAAGAGCGAGAGTATGAAAATAAAGTGGAAGCGAATCTTAATGATACAAGATTGTGTTCATTTTTTTATATAGTTCTTTTAATTGTATTCAAGACATGACAACACGTTTCAATAAATCATTATTAACTTCCGAAAATGTCAGCCAACCATCTCAGAGAACCTCTCACACGAACAGCTTTCTTACAAAACTTCATTGAAAGTTTGTTTCCTTTATTTCCGAACCGTGCAGTATTTGTCCTGCAAAGTTTTTTTCATTTTAACAGAGGATCTGTGAAACCTTAACCGTTCTACTTTGCATCTGTGTTGTGTAATTGCATTTCTCTTTTTTCAATTTTCCCTTTCATATATGAAAAAAAGAAGGTAAATATATCTTTAAAAGAAACAAACTTAAACCATCTGTCATTGGTGAAACTTCTCTGCTCGTTTGAGACAAAGAAAACTAATCTCCCTTTTTTTATTCCCCAGTGTGCGACCCCGATTGGTTTCTTTCTTTCTTTCTTTCTTTCTTTCTTTCTTTCTCTTTCTTTCTTATTTTCCTTCGTTGAAAAGAAAAATGCCATTCAACCGGCAGAGCAGTAGCGTTCCAAACAACAGATTCACACGAAAATATGTCGATGCAATTTGAATACTCTAAATTGTTTACAACATCCATTAGAAGTGCATTTTGCATTTAATATTTCGAATAATTATTGAATATATTGGTTTCCTTTTGTTTGTAGTATTATAGAGTTGCCACTACATTTATATAATGATTACC